GAAGATTGAGGGGGGGGAGGAAAATATTGAAGGGGGAGTAGAGAAGAAGATGGAGGAGGGGGAGGAGAAGCCATTCTCTCAGGAGTAGGGGGGAATGGAGAAGATTACAGGAGGGGGAGGGATGGGGAGTGGAGAAGATTACAGGGAGGAGGGGGTAGTGGAGAAGGTTACAGGGTGGAAGAATACAGGGAGAGAGAGGGAGGAGAAGATTACAGGGAGGGGAGAGAAGATTACAGGAGGGAGTGGAGGGGGGAAGTAGAGAAGATTACAGGGAGGGAGAAGAAGAGAAGATTACCAGGAGGGAGGGGGGAGAAGAGAAGATTGCAGGGGGGAAAGAGAAGATTACGGGGGGAGAAGAAGAGATTACAGGGAGGGAAGGGGGGAGAAGAAGAGAAAATTACAGGGGGGAGGGGAGAAGATTACAGGGAGGAAGGAGAAGAAGAGAAGATTACAGGGACGGGGGAGATGAAGAGGAGAACACTGAAGAAGAGGAGAACACGGGGGTGGGAGATGAGAACACAGGGAGGGGGGGAGAAGAGAAGAACACGGGGGGAGAATAAGAGGAGAACATGGGGGAGGGAGAGACCACTAAAAGAGGGATGGGGTGGTGGAAAGACCGCTAAGGGGGGGGGAGGATAGACCACTAGGGGAGGGTGGGGGGAGAGGAGAGACCACTAATGGAAAGGGGGGCAGAGGAGAGCAGAGACCACTAAGGGGGAGACGAGAGACCACTAATGGAAAGTCGGGGAGAAAAGGAGACCACTAAGGGAGGTGGGGGGGAGACGAGAGACCACTAAGGGGCAGGAGAGATCTCTAAGGGATGGAAGAGAGCTCTAAAGGACAGGGGGCAGGACAGGGAGCTCTTTCACACTACGCGCACACACACAATGCATCCCTATACACAGAGAAACACAACATGCTTACCTTACACACAGAGAAACACACAATGCATCCATTACACACACACAGAATGCAACCCTTACACATAAAGACAATGCATCCTTTGCACATATACACAGAAACACACACATGCAAACACACACTGCTTCTCTTACACACACACAGAGAAACACAATGCATCTCTTACACACACTCAACGCACCCCTTACAGACACACACTGCATCCCTTACACACACAGAAACACACTTTGCATCCCTTATGCAAACAAACACAGATTCACACAATGCATCCCTTACACACAACAAGAAACACACAATACATCCCTTATACACAAACACACACTGCTTTCTATCCTTTACATACAAACACACTGCTTCCACTACACACAAACACACTGCATCACCTACACAAACTGGTATCCCTATACACTACATTCCATAAGCACACACATTAGATACTCTAACGTAACACATAACACATCCCCTACACACTCCACTCCCTGTGAGCGAACTCATGGGTGGAACATGTAGGTGGACTTATGGGTGGGCCTTATGGGCATACTCACCGTCAGGCCCTGGGGCCCAGACCTTGAGCTGTGTAAGGGGCCCCAAAAAATGGAGCTGCTTCCCGTTCTCCCAGAACATTGATTTTTGTGACCACAGTTACAAACAGCCTCCAGAGATCCTGTTCTACACCAGACCAGTGGAGCCAGACTGCAGCCAGAGCCCATCACCATTCTCATCTGGTTGTAAGTAGGCAATCTAGTATATTATTCGTGGCACTAAGCTCTAATTTACCTCACATTAAAGAAACACTATAGTCCCCAGAACCACTTCAGCTTAATGTAGTGGTTCTGGTGTCTATAGCCTGTCCCTGCAGGCCTTTTAATGTAAACACGGCGACACTGCAGCACTGGTGTTAGTTAACATGGCAAATCATATGGGTGGGGCATTGTGATGTCACATGGGGGGGCGGCAAACTTAACTTTTGCCTAGGGCGGCAAAAATCCTTGCACCGGCCCTGGGTATGAAGTAAGTTGTTAGAAAAATATAAGCTGAGGGCCTAGTAGGTAATTATGTTGCAGGAGAGGAGTCATGGAGGGTGGAGGATAAAAACCTGCTAACAGTTTAATTGTAAATGTCAAAGTGCTGTAAAACCGAATACAAAATGCAAATAAAAAAAGATAACTGCAGCTTTTGAAAGCTGTTTTAAATATACCCAAATAAAACAAAATAGATACTAAAATCCTTGTATGTTTTCATTTGGGGTAGATCTACTAAGCAGGGATTTTACATATATATATGTATTGGGTTTTTTTGTGTTTGGGCAGTGGAATGTCCCTTCAATCGGTATGGTGCACTTGCATTGTCATAGCTCTGATACTTTATAATGCAAGAATGTACCTGTTCCTATGATTCCCTTCTTTAATCTTTTCTGTGCACAACATACATGTAACTTATGTGTATTTTTTTTCCTACCAAAACCAATAGAGAAGTTAAAGCCTACTTTTTTTCGTAGGGATAAAATAAACTTTTTAAAAGGGACACTATAGTAACTAGAACAACTGCAGCTCAATGAGAAGTCTTTGCAAGGCTGGTGCTCTGGACAACTGCTGTCTCTTGATGTTAGCTCCACTAAGCCAACCAAACCAGAAAATAACAGGACCTATTGTCTGCTTGAAAGCCTAGGGGTGTAACAAGGTTCATTTATAAAAGTGTTGATTTGTATTGAAATATGCACTTTTTACCAAATTAGAAAAAGAGGACGCACTCGAAACACAAAGTGCTTCAGCAAGCTTTAGGGATCTGGGGTATCCCATTAAACATCTGTGTGATTTGTTTTGCTTGGGCATTCTTGGTGGATCTGAGAACCCCAGTCTGACTGCCTTCTTCTGCTTATAATGTGTGCATACCAACTCATGGATAGATATCAGTAGGAGAAGCTGCTTAACCCCTACACCCCTTAAGGATTGAGCCAAATGTACACGTTGTGAACGAAACAAAATGTAAACAAAACCTGGCATTTGAGCTACATGTCTGTCCAACCGTAATTCACCGCTTTCATATTAAATGCACCTACCCTTATTATATATAATTTTATTCAGGGGAAACAGGGCTTTCATTTAATATCAAATATTTAGATGTGAAACATAATTTAATATGAAAAAAATGGGAGAAAAGGAGATTTTTTTTTATTTTTTTAGTTCTACATGACATTTTAACTGTCAATGTCATAATATTGTTTGCTTTTACTGCAATAAAATACACATATTTGTATTCAGCAAAGTCTCACATGTAAAACAGTACCCCCTATGTACAGGTTTTATGGCATTTTGGGAAGTTACAGGGTCAAATATAGCACGTTACATTTGAAATTGAAATTCGCCAGATTGGTTACGTTGCCTTTGGGTAGCCCGGGAATGAAATTTACACCCATAATGGCATACCATTTGCAATAGTAGACAACCCAAGGTATTGCAAATGGGGTATGTCCGTCTTTTTTAGTAGCCATTTGGTCACAAACACTGGCCAAAGTTAGCGTTAGTATTTGTTTGTGTGTGAAAAATGCAAAAATGCCAATTTTGGCCAGTGTTTGTGACTAAGTGGCTACTAAAAAAGACTGGACATACCCCGTTTGCAATACCTTGGGTTGTCTACTATTGCAAATGGTATGCCATCATAGGGGTAATTTTCATTCTTGGGCTACCATAGGGTCTCAAAGGCAACGTAACCAATCTGGCGAATTTTAATGTGAAAAAAATGAAACGCAAGCCTTATATTTGACGCTGTAACTTTTGAAAACACCATAAAACCTGTACATGAGGGGTACTGTTGTACTCGGGAGACTTCGCTGAACACAAATATTTGTGTTTCAAAACAGTAAAAAGTATCATAGCAATAATATCGTCCGTTGTAAGTGCTGTTTGTGCGTGAAAAATGCAAAAAACTTCACTTTTACTGGCGATATCATCGTTGTAATACATTTTACTGTTTTGAAACACTAATATTTGTGTTCAGCGAAGTCTCCCGAGTAGAACAGTACCCCCCATGTACAGGTTTTATGGTGTCTTGTAAAGTTATAGGGTTAAATATAGTGCTAGCAAATTAAATTCCCTTTACTTTCAGCATGGGTTGTCAGGCAGGTCCTGCTAATTGTAATTAATTAAGATACCTAATTATGTAAAAATATTACATAAATATATATGTAGAATTAATATATATATATATATATATATATATATACGTATGTGAATCTATATGTGTGTATATATATATATATATATATATATATATAATATTTATGTGAATTGCGCATGAAACTGCTATGTTTACATGTGAAGCGTTAAAACCTGAGGGACCTGGCACCCAGACCACGTCATTAAGCTGAAGTGGTCTAGGTGACTATAGTGTCCCTTTAAGTTGCTGTCTAGTAGACAGTCACTAAAATTGGAGTTAACCCTGAAAGGTAATTATTACAGTTTATTAAACACTTGCAATAATTAGTTTTGCAGGGTTAAGGGACCTGGTACAGTGCACCCAGCCTACTTCTATTAGCTGAAGTAATCTGGGTGTCTATAATGTCGCTTTACAGGAATATAACACATTTAAAACGCTTTAAACAATGTTTGCTGCTGCACTGCGGACTATGTTGGCGCTTCACAATCACATGTTTTCATCTAATCGTAGAAAAAATTGTGATGCATATGCTTTCCTTTAAGTCACCACTCTTCAGCGATTAATGATTAAATCACTTAATGCAAATATTCCCGACTGGTCCTTCTACCGATACCTTGACTATAAGCAAACAAGTAACCTGTCTGTATACAAAACCATTTGCGCTCTCACTGCCTTCTCCCACGGCGCCTGCGCACTGTCTCCTGCCTTCTCCCACGGCGCCTGCCTCCTGCCTTCAACCATGGCGCCTGCGCACTGTCTCCTGCCTTCAACCACGGCGCCTGCGCACTGTCTCCTGCCTTCAACCACGGCGCCTGCGCACAGTATCACGCCTTTCATCATAAATTGCGCATGCGTAGTCATGTCTGCAGGCTATGCGAGGAATCCTGCTGCCCCCTCCTGCTCGTTACTGGTAGTGCAGATATGCCTTTTCCTGCCTGACTGTTTCAATATGGCGGGCGGTGAGAGGGAGACTGAACCGTCTGGTGATAACATTGTGTCCAAGGCCTCCCAGCTGGCTGATAAACATTTATATTTAGTCCGGGTAGGGAGCTACAGCTTCTTTCTGTACGAGGGTAGGATGTACCAATGTAAATGTGATTAGTATTCAGACACAGGCATGGCCAATCAATCCAGTGCAGCAGCCCCACTCCCATCACTCTCTGCCAGAGTGGCTGGCTCACAGGCCAATATTTTTGCTTAAATTTTGCGATTTGGATCTAAAACGTTTAACATTTTAATTCTGGTGAATGACCCTGTTTTAATTTCAGGGAATTCATATTTCAGCAGGTAACCTTGTCATACTTTAATCCAGTCACAAAAGGCATGTAGATTAAATAAAAACAAAAATTTGTAGAATATACGTTTCCTAATCAAATTTTGCAACTTTACATTGCATTTTGTTATTTCGTGAATAAATCTCACTGTATGAATTGTTGAGAATTTGATGTTTTAAAGGACCACTATAGTGCCAAGAAAACAAACTTGTTTTCCTGGCACTATAGTGTTAACAGGTCCCCCACCCTCATGGCCCCCCACCCGCCGGGCTCTAGGGGGAGGAAGGGGTTAAAGGCTTACCTTTCTCCAGCGCCGGGCTCCCTCGGTGCTGGGGACATTCCTCCGTCTTCCGCCGAATACGCATGCGTGGCAAGAGCCGCGCGTATTCAGTCAGTCCACAGGAAAGCATTCTCAATGCTTTCCTATGGACGCTGGCGTCTTCTCACTGTGAAAATCAGTCGGAAGCGCCTCTAGCGGCTGTCAATGAGACAGCCAATAGAGGCTGGATTAACCCTAATGTAAACATAGCAGTTTCTATGTTTACAGCAGGCAGGGTTAACCCTAGCTGGACCTGGCACCCAGACCACTTCATTGAGCTGAATTGGTCTGGGTGCCTAAAGTGGTCCTCTAAAGAAACACTCCAAGCACCATAACCACTATGGCTTTCTTTAGTATATATGCATACACTGCAACATACATAAATGTTTACACAGATACACTCACACAAAAACAATGGAGAGGCCACTAGAATTTTAGGTGCAAATCTCCAAGGTCTCCTTCTAATCACATGCAGTAAAAAAACAATAAGGAGGCGGGACACGATTGTCAGAGGCGTGCGTGATGACGTGACGTGCACAGTGTCAGGAAAGTGACAGGGATCCAATACGCAGAGTGCGCACAGAATGAGGTACGTATACCGGACCTTAGAATGGCCGGACTAACGTAAGGACAAAGCAAGAATAGTCAAAAGGTAAGCCGAGGTCAAGGGAGCCGGAGGACAGGTAAGCGAGATACAAGCCGAGTCAAAGGAGAGGAGAGGACAACAGGACAAAAGACAAGCAAGGGTCAAAACCGGAAACACAAGATAAAGAACGCGCTGAGTGACTAGCAAGCTAGAACCACGACAGGGCAATGAGCAGTAGAAAAGGTTTCCTTTAAATACCCTGTAACCTAAATAGAGACCACGCCCCCAAAAGGTCCGGAATAGCGGTTCCCGGCACTTATGCAAATGCCGACGTCATGACGTCGACGCTAGCCGTCGCGTCATAAAAGGGGGAGGAGCTAGCGCGGCCGGCGCGAAAACGGCCGGAATATGCCGAAATGCTAGGGGCAGGGAGGCCCTAAGCAGAGAGGATGTCCTCCCTGGATACATCACCAACAGGTACCCTGACAGTACCCCCCCTTCTAGAAACGCCCACCGGGCGGATGGGACCGGGCTTAGAGGGAAAACGAACGTGGAAGGCCCGAAGAAGACGAGGAGCATGCACGTCTATACCAGGAACCCAAGACCTCTCTTCCGGACCATAACCTTTCCAGTCTATGAGGTATTGCAGCTTCCCCCTAGAAATACGAGAATCAAGGATGGACTTGATGATATATTCCTCCTGACCATCCACACGGACCGAGGATGGAGGAGCAGAGCGGGAGGAAAATCTGTTACAAACAAGAGGTTTCAATAACGACACATGAAAAGAGTTAGGGATGCGTAGAGTAGGAGGTAGATCCAGCAAATAAGAAACCGGGTTGATCCTCCTCAGTACCCTGTAAGGACCAATGTAACGAGGAGCAAACTTCAAGGAAGGAACTTTCAGGCGAATGTGTCTGGTACACAACCAGACCCTATCCCCCGGAGAAAAAATAGGAGCAGGACGTCTACGCCTATCAGCATGTGACTTAAACACCGCGGAACTACGTTCAAGAATTTGTCGAGTCTGATCCCACAACTTTCTCAGGTTGGCTACATGAATATCAACCGACGGTATACCCTGGGAAGGAGACACCGACGGAAGAACAGTAGGGTTAAAGCCATAGTTCAAGAAAAAGGGGCTATTACGAGTGGAACCACAAACAAGGTTGTTGTGAGCAAACTCCGCCCAAGGAATCAGACCGACCCAGTCATCCTGGTGTTCAGAAACAAAACAACGTAGATATTGCTCAATTTTTTGGTTAGTGCGTTCGGCTGCTCCGTTAGATTGAGGATGATAGGCCGAAGAAAAATTCAGTTTGATGCCCAACTGTGAACAGAAGGATCTCCAAAAACGGGAAATAAATTGGGAACCCCTGTCTGACACAATCTCATTGGGAATACCATGTAAACGGAAAATTTCTCTAGCAAATATCACGGCCAGTTCGGGGGAGGACGGAAGTTTAGGCAAGGGAACGAAATGAGCCATTTTAGTAAACCTGTCAAGGACCGTGAGGATAACTGTATGCCTATTGGAAGCTGGTAGATCAACAATAAAATCCATAGCCAAACAAGCCCAAGGTTTGTTGGGAACGACTAAGGGCTGCAATAAACCACAAGGGAGATCCCGAGGAAGTTTATTCCTGACACAAACATTGCAAGCCTTGACAAAGTCTTCCACATCCCTACGTAAACCGGGCCACCAGAAGTCTTTGGAGATCAGGCAGTGAGTTTTGTGGATGCCTGGGTGACCAGCGAACTTGCTATCGTGAAAACAGCGAATAATGTCCACTTAGAATTTGGGGGACACGAACAAGCGGCCCACAGGAGTTGGTTCGGGAGCAAGAGATTGTTCGTTCATAATATCAGCGAGCAATGGAGAGTGTATTTTGACATTGGTGTTGGCGATAATATTGACTTCAGGAATAATAGGGAACAAAGTATCCTCTGTAGAGGTGGTAGGTTCGTGCTGACGTGACAAAGCGTCTGCCTTAGTGTTCTTAGAACCAGGCCTGTAAGTAAGCACATAATTAAAGTGTGTAAGGAACATAGACCAACGTGCCTGCCTGGCAGATAATCTTTTGGCCTCCCCCATATACGATAAATTTTTGTGGTCAGTCAAGATAGTAACTGGGAGGACGGTGCCCTCTAACAAATGTCTCCATTCCTTTAATGCCATAATGATAGCTAGAAGTTCTCTATCACCAATGTCATATCTCCTTTCAGTGTGTGATAGTTTCTTGGAAAAAAAACCGCAAGGGTGCAGCGGCTTATCTAAACTTTGTCTTTGGGACAACACTGCGCCTATCCCTGTTTCAGACGCATCAACTTCAAGTAAAAAGGGTAGAGAGGTATCAGGATGAACTAATACAGGTGCTGAGGCAAAAGACTGTTTGAGCGTTTCGAAAGCAGATAAAGCCTCAGTAGACCAGGTTTTGGTATCGGCTCCTTGTTTGGTCATATTAGTGATAGGAGCGATAACAGAGGAGTACCCTTTAATAAAACGTCTGTAATAATTAGAAAATCCAAGAAATCTTTGTATGGCTTTGAGTCCCTTAGGTAAAGGCCAATCTAAAATCGATTTTAGTTTGGTCGGGTCCATCATAAACCCGTCTTTGGAAATTACGTAACCTAAGAAAGTTACCTGAGACTGGTCAAAGCTACATTTTTCCAATTTACAATACAATCCATGTTGTAAAAGTTTCTGTAATACCTTTCTGACTTGTCTATGATGTGAATTAATGTCTCTAGAATGGATTAGTATATCATCCAAATATACAATTACACATTCATGTTGGAATTCTCTAAGAACTTCATTGATCAAGTCTTGGAAGACGGCCGGGGCGTTACAAAGCCCAAACGGCATTACGGTATACTCATAATGCCCGTAACGGGTATTAAATGCTGTCATCCATTCATCTCCTTGTTTAATTCGCACTAAGTTATATGCTCCTCTTAAGTCAAGTTTGGTAAAAATACTCGAGCCCCTTAGTCTGTCAAAGAGTTCAGTAATCAAAGGAATAGGGTAAGCATTTCTGATAGTAATTTTGTTCAATCCCCGATAGTCTATACAAGGACGTAAGGTACCGTCTTTCTTTTCTACAAAAAAGAAACCCGCCCCCGCCGGAGAAGAAGACTTTCTAATAAATCCTTTGTCTAAATTCTCCTTGATATATTCCTCTAAAACTAAGTTTTCCTTGGTGGATAGAGGGTATACCGTACCCCTGGGAGGCATAGTACCAGGGAAAAGTTTAATAGAACAGTTATAAGACCGGTGGGGAGGTAAAGTATCCGCCTTACCCTTGTCAAATACAGATTTGAGGTCTAGATATTGTAATGGTATCTGAACGTCTGTGGATTGAGAAGTGTTAACATAAGAGTTTACGGGGCAAACAGAAGTAACTCTCTGCAGACATTCTTTCCTACAACCCATACCCCAAGAAACGATTTCTCCACCCTCCCAGTCAATCTGAGGGTTGTGTCTCTTGAGCCAAGAATATCCTAGTACCACTGGGACTGCCGGGGAGGAAATTAACAGAAGGGAAATCAACTCCTCGTGGAAAATACCAACAGTAAGCTTAACGGGTTCGGTCTCATGGAATATTACTGGTTCAGATAAAGGTCTACCATCTATGGCCTCAACGGCCAAGGGTGTATCTCTCAATTGGAATGGGATACAATGCTTATTAGCGAAAGTTTGGTCTATAAAGCTTTCTGCTGCTCCAGAATCTAATAATGCCATCGTAGCAATAAACCCCTTTTCCCAAGCTAGAGAGACAGGAATCAGAAGCCTATGGTCTTTTTTATTATGCATAGAGGACAGTAATGAAACACCCAAGGCCCGTCCTCTAAGGGAACTTAGGTGCGAGCGTTTCCCGGACGATTAGGGCAACTAAGACGTAGGTGACCTCTCAGCCCGCAGTATAAACAGAGACCCTCCCTTCTTCTGTACTGTCTCTCAGCCTCAGATAAGCGAGTATTACCTATTTGCATAGGTTCTGGTGGAGTAGGATTATAGGAGTCAGGGTTCTGAAATGAGGGAGCAAGTCTTACAGGAAGTCTAGTAACTCTTTCCCGAGTGTTCTGCCTCTGTCTCATGCGTTCATCTATTCTGGAAATGAAGGATACTAAATCCTCTAAATTTTCCGGAAGTTCTCTTGTGGCAATTTCATCTAGAATTTCATCAGACAACCCATTCAAGAAAACATCCATAAAAGCTTGTTCGTTCCATTTCACTTCTGCTGCCAATGATCTAAACTCTAGAGCATATTCTACAAGGGTCCTATCTTGTTGTTTAAGGCGTAACAGGGATCTGGCCGCATTAATCTTCCTCCCTGGGGGGTCAAAGGTTCTTCTAAAAGCCGTGACAAACGCAGTGTAGTTGTAGACTAAAGGATTGTCATTCTCCCAAAGGGGATTGGCCCATCTAAGTGCTTTATCTATTAGCAGGGTTATAATAAAGCCTACCTTAGCCCTGTCAGTGGGGTAAGCCCGGGGTTGTAGTTCGAAATGTATGCTTATCTGGTTTAAAAAACCACGACAAGCATCAGGCGAACCCCCATATCGTAATGGTGACGTGACATGGGAAGATGCGCCTACAGTGGCTACTTCCAAACCAGTACTTAGCGAGTGGCTAGCAGTGGAACGTATTTCTTCAGACTGGGTACTGGAGCGTGTCAACAAAGTTTGTAACGCTAAAGCCATTTGGTCCATTCTATGGTCCATGGCCTCAAATCTGGGGTCAGGAGGACTAGCACCTGCAGGATCCATCTGGCCCTGTCGTAATGTCAGGAAACTGACAGGGATCCAATACGCAGAGTGCGCACAGAAGGAGGTACGTATACCGGACCTTAGAATGGCCGGACTAACGTAAGGACAAAGCAAGAATAGTCAAAAGGTAAGCCGAGGTCAAGGGAGCCGGAGGACAGGTAAGCGAGATACAAGCCGAGTCAAAGGAGAGGAGAGGACAACAGGACAAAAGACAAGCAAGGGTCAAAACCGGAAACACAAGATAAAGAACGCGCTGAGTGACTAGCAAGCTAGAACCACGACAGGGCAATGAGCAGTAGTAAAGGTTTCCTTTAAATACCCTGTAACCTAAATAGAGACCACGCCCCCAAAAGGTCCGGAATAGCGGTTCCCGGCACTTATGCAAATGCCGACGTCATGACGTCGACGCTAGCCGTCGCGTCATAAAAGGGGGAGGAGCTAGCGCGGCCGGCGCGAAAACGGCCGGAATATGCCGAAATGCTAGGGGCAGGGAGGCCCTAAGCAGAGAGGATGTCCTCCCTGGATACATCACCAACAGGTACCCTGACACACAGGAGGTGGGCAAGCCCGGTTAGGCGTTGTAAGAGAGATCCCTCAGAAGTTGTTGAAAGACTTGGTCGGTATTACGGCTGTACACATGGACTTGGCAGTGTTTGGTTAATGTCCGGTGGTTAATGTCCGGTGTGCGGTGGTGGAATATCGGTGAACGAGCGGAGCAACAAGTGTACTATCTCAGCAGTGGGACATTTTAATTTTTGGCAGTGAGTGCAGAATCAAATGTGTTACAATTGAGTGACCATAATTGTTTACAAGAACAGATAAAACAATTAATGGAGTCACAAAAACAAGGGCTTAGAAAAGATATGTTATCTAACTTCAAGGAGATCAAACAAGACACAAAAAATTACAGAAGTAATTATCACGATTTAACAAAAGTTTAAATGTATCGAAGATCAGTATCAATATAAGGAACTTAATATGTATAGCTTGGAGGAAAGATGAGACGGGGGATCAGTGGCGGATCCAGAGCCTGATCTCGGGAGGGGCACTTGTAGATTATTTAAAGAAGTAATCCAGGCACAATAACCACTACAGCTCAGCGTAGTAGTTATAATGCCAGTAGTGCCAGGATCCCACCCCAGAGTAAGTAGTCAAACCGTTTAAGAACAGTGACAACTTACCTGGGGTCTGCTGGGATATAGGGCATAGGAGCAGTGGTATGTGTTAGGGGTGAAGAGTGTGTGCGTGAGGGGGGCAGTGTGTGTGTGTGTGTGGGGGGGCGGTGCAGTCTGTGTGAGAGTTGCAGTGTGTGTGTGTTAGGGGCAGTTTGTGTATGGGTGGGGCAGTGTGTGTATGGGGGGACAATGTATGTATGTGCGGGGCCATGTGTGTATGTGGGGCAGTGTATGTATGGGGGAAGAAGGGTAGGAAGGCTTTTTAATATATATATTGTTTAATTTTTATTTTATTTCTGGATCCCTGGTGGTCCGGTGGAGATTCCCTGGTGGTCCCAGTGGTTAGAGTGAACTCTAGCCCACAGCTCCTGGGCTAGAGTTCACTATCGTGAGATTTGGAGCATTGCCGCGGTTACATAAAGGGAATCTACACGGTAAAGGAGGAGACTATATTTAAAAGAAGAAAAACTACCACAACAAGAGGACATAAAATCTTAAATTAGAGGTTTAAAACTAATATCAGGAAGTATTACTTTACTGAGAGGGTAGTGGATGCATGGAATAGCCTTTCAGCTGAAGTGGTAAAGGTTAACACAGTAAAAGAGTTTAAGCATGCGTGGGATAGGCATAAAGCTATCCTAGATATAAGGCCAGGGACTAATAGACGTATTTAGAAAATCAGGCAGACTAGATGGTTCTTATTTGGCGTCACATTCTATGTTTCTAATATATGTCCCTAAAAGATACAACAGATAATTTAACAATTAAAATTAACAGATTGGAACAAAAAATATCTGAACTGGAAGACAAATCAAGAAGATCAAACTTCCGTGGAATTCCTGAAGAAATTGATGTAGAGAAAATTGAAGAATATTTAAAAGGCCTATTTAAAGCACTACTCCAAGATATCCCAACATTAGATTGCTCGCTAGAAAGGATACGTCGAATTTATAAGCCAAGTAATACCTCTACACAATATCCAAGAAATGTTATAGCAAACTTTCGTTCAGTACAATTTAAGAAAAATTGATGAAGGCACGAAGAGAAAATTTATGAAAAATACCTGTTATACTAATATAATTTTTCTCCAGGACCTTTCTTATCATACGAGAACTTGGAAAAAAGCATTTGCATTAATAACTGAATTTTTGAAGAAGAATAATATCAAGTTCCAGTGGAGTTTTCCAGTATCATTAAGATTCTATTGGAAAGGGGAAAGAATGTAATTCACTACGTTGGAAATAGCTATGTCGTGGATGAAAGCAGAGTCGTTATTAAGTTCCCCAGAAAGAAGACAAAGGAATAATTAAGTTCTGGTTTAGTTGAATGAAAAAAAGAAGAGTAAAGGAACATGGAAGAAAAAAAGAAGTAAAGGAATAATCAGTTATTAGTGAGAAGAGAGACTTAATAATTATTAGATAATTTAATTTAAGGAGGAACAATTTATTTATTTATTTTTTTAAAAAAAGATTCTTCACCAAAGAATAAAAGCTACACTATATAACATATGGTAATAGAAGCAATATTGAGCACACAAATATATATATATATATATATATATATATATATATATATAATTCACATAAAGTAATATATAAATATAGAAAGATAAAAAGAAAGTAATAGATACATGTGGTAAAAGAAGCAATATTGAGCACACAAATAGATATATATAGGGAAAATTCACATCGAGAACTATATAAAGAAAGCCAAAAAGAAAAGGGAAAAATATATAGACTACCACAATGTAAGATTTTTTTTTAATCACAGCACTAAATAACAACACTCACAGAAAAAGAAGAGAAAAAAATGTGATTTTTTTTTTTTTTTTTCAATATGAGATTTGTAGAGATATGATTAGGAGATTGAATATGTCACATAATAATAATAATAAGGTTGACACTTTTGAAAAATGGTTTTAATTAATTGTAAAAAAAATATTATTAGATTGTGTATTGTTATTTTTTATTTATTATTGTTTTCTCCATATTTTCTCTCTTTTATATGAGTTAAAAGAATAAAATAGGTTAATGACAACATAAATTGTAAAAAGAGGTATCTCTTAATTAGGAACATTGGATCGAAACGCATGACCGAGCTTAAACTCAGTGTCTATAAAAGACACAGTATAAGGCTGAATCCCTGATATGTGGATTTTAAATCATTGTTTTTGTGTATGTGCGTCTTTGTAAATATTCTTGGAAAATTATACATTATTGCTATGTCGGAAAAGAGAGAGAGAGAAGAAAAATAGGAAGAAAAAATGTTTAGAATGATAACATTAAATGTCCAGGGGATGAACTCACCAACAAAAAAGTCTTTATTATATAAATATCTAACTAAAGAATAAATTGACCTAAGAAACTCACTGGAGACAATTTGAAACACAAACTTGGGGTGGAAAGAGATTCCCAAGCATTATCCATTCCTCTGACAAAATAAAAATAAAAAAGTGGAGTGGCTATAATATTTAGGAAAAAAATAAATGTTGAAATACTTCATAAATTATGTGACCCAGAGGGTAGATTTTTAGTAGCCTTTTGTAAAATTAATGTAAAACTATATACTTTATGTAATGTATATCTCCCCAACAGATCTCCAGCTACTTACTTAAGAAAATTATTGGAAAAAGTAGAAGAAATAAAAGTAGGACAGATTTTACTAACAGGAGATTTTTAAATTAAATTCTAGATCCCAAATTAGATTAAAAAAAAACGAATGAAAGGGACAAAAATTAATAAAATGGTGGTTAAACAGGCAAAATCTCTAAATAAAATCAAGAATGAATTTAACTTCTATAATATTTGAAGAATTTTTCATATGAATGATTATGATTATACACACTTTTCCAGAATACAGTTTTCTTATACTAGATTGGATATGATCTGGACAGATCCTACCGTTATTGAGTCAGTAACTAAAATTTGATATTAAAGATATAACCTGGACAGATCATAGTGGAGTGGTATGTGAAATTGGAGTAAGAAAAATGACAAAAGAAACATACACCTGGCATTTAAACAATAGTTTACTGAATTTAGAGTCAAACTGAAAATTAATTGAATCTAATATAAATGGATATGCTGAGGAAAATGTGACAGGTCATATTTCGTCAACCATCCTATGGTGTGCTTTTAACCCTTAAGAACTGAGCCAAATGTACATGTTGTGATCAAAACAAAACTTAAACAAAAACTTGAAATTGCACTATATGTCTGTTCAGGCGTAATTCACCTCTTTCATATTATGTGCACCCAAAGTCATATATAATTTTATTCAGGGAATAAGGCCTTTCATTTAACATCAAATTTTTAGGTATAATACATAATTTAATATGAATACAATATTAAAAAATGGGAGAAAATAAGAATTTTTAAAAAAATGTTTAGTTCTACGTGACATTGTAACTGTGTGTCATAATACTGTTTGCTTTTACTGCAATAAAATACACATATTTGTATTCAGCGATGACTCACGTGTAAAACAATACCCCCTATATACAGGTTTTATGGTGTTTTGGGAAGTTACAAGGTCAAAAAAAGCAAGTTACATTTTTCAGTTTTTTCACATTGAAATTCACCAGAGTTGGTGTTAATCTTTGTTTGTGAGTGAAAAATACAAATTACCCATTTAAATGCCAATTTTGGCCAGTATTTGTGACTAAGTGGCTACTAAAAAAGACTGGACACACCCCATTTGCAATACCTTGGGTTGTCTACTTTTGCAAATGGTATGCCATCATGGGGGTAATTCTCATTCCTGGGCTACCATACGGTCTCAAGGGCAACGTAACCAATCTGGCAAATTTCAATGTGAAAAAACTGAAAGGCAAGATTTATATTTTACTCTGTAACTTTTGAAAACACCATAAAACCTGTACATGGGTACTGTTCTACTCGGGAGACTTCGCTGAACACAAATATTAGTGTTTCAAAACAGTAAAACGTATCACAACTATTATATCGTCTGTGTAAGTGCCATTTGTGTGTGAAAAATGCAAAAAAATTTACTTTCACTGACGATATCATCGTTGTAATACATTTTACTGTTTTGAAACACTAATATTTGTGTTCAGCGAAGTCTTCCGAGTAAAACAGTACCCCCCATGTACAGGTTTTATGGTGTCTTGGAAAGTTACAGGGTGAAATATAGTGCTAGCAAATTAAATTCCCTGGACTTTCAGCCTGGGTTGTCAGGCAGGTCCCGCAAATTGAAATTAATAAAATGACCTAATTATGTAAAATAAATATATACGTAGAATTAATATATATATATATATATATATATATATATATTTGTGGTAATGGCTCATGATAGTACAGAAGAAACAAACTCTGATAAGTGTAGGATGGTATTAAAAGAGCAAGTCGGTTGTGGTGTGCCGGAACCGACGATGAGGTAGGCCTGTAAATAAAGAGGGCCCACCAAGAAGAAATGTAAAGAAAAAGGAGTTAATAATGAGGAGTGGTGGGAGGGTGATGCAGCGCTGACCTCGAACAGTATGGAGCAAGGTAAGGGGTGTCCCTTAAGTAGGGAATGGGTGTGTCATATGCCCCTCCCACAACTAAAGGCCAAAAGGCCTTAATATATATGTATAGAATTTTCTTTAAATATTTTTATTTATATATAGGTATATATACAGTGATATATACGTATATACTTTTTTCATGTACTTATGTATATATATATATATTTCATTCTACGTGTATTTTTATATCTATATATATATATATATATATATATTAATTTTAAAATACAGTTAGAACGAAATTACACATATATTTATTTTTTCTAATTTTATATTTTAACGTATTTACATATTTATTTTATATTATATATAAATATATAATAATTATATATATATTTAATCAATATCATTGTACATGTACTTTGATATACAGGGAGTGCAGAATTATTAGGCAAGTTTGGAAAAAACTGTTAAAAACTTGGAAAGACTGAAATTTAAGTATTATTCCAAAGGTTATCGGGCTGATAAAATTTTATCTGAGAAACTTAGACCACAAAAATGGAATAATAAAGTTATAAAATTAATAGATAAAGATAGAAACTTAGAAACACTTTAACTTTTTCTACAGTAAGCTGTATAACATTTCTTCAACTACTACCATAGAAGAAATTAATCATTACCTTAAAAATTTAAATTTACCTCAAATTACTGACTTAGACATAATCTTTTTAAATAAAGAGATGCACATTGAAGAAGTAAATCCGGTTATATGTCATTTTAGATACATTTAAAACTCCAGGCCTTGATGGGTTTAGTAATTTATTCTATAAAATATATCAAGACCAAATAAATTTTCATTTAACAAATACTTTTAATTATACCGTTAAAATAGGTTAATTCCCAGAAGAAATAAGAGCTAATATCTTACCTATTCTTAAACCAAACAAACTCCCCACGAATGTACAAAACTATCAACCTATTTCGCTTATACATGTAGATGCTAAACTCTTTGCTTCCATCTTGGCAACTAGGCTAAAAAAAAGTTTTACCAACAATCATACATCACAACCAAATAGGTTATGTCCCAGGTAAAACCTCTGCTACTAGTATACGAAGGATAAGAAAAGTTCTGGATTCAACAGGGTCAACTGGAAATATTTAGAAACAACTTTAACTTATTATGGCATCTCGGGCTGGATAAAGAAGGCCTTTAAGGCTTTATATGTAAACCCAACAGCACGAACAAAGGGCCCGTCAAGGGTGTCCCCTTTCCCCAATTTTATATCTGCTTTCAATTGAACCTTTAGCTATTATTATAAGAAATATTAAAGAAATTAGTGGATAGAAAATTTTCCATAAAGACCAAAAAATTAGCTTGTATGCAGATGATATTTTAGTTACATTGACAAACCCTAGCATATCATTTATTATTCTTATGAAAGAAATAGATATTCTTTGGCATCAAATTATAAGTTAAATATAAATCTATGATATTAGATCTTAATTTAATTAATAAACGTTAAAGGGAAATCACAAATATGCATGAGTTCCTGTGGGTAGAAGAAACAATAAATGTTTTAAGTATTAGTTTAACAAGAGAAACTAATCAAATTATGGAGATAAACTTTCTGAATCTTATACAAAACACTAATAGATGGCTAAAAGAACAAAAAAATCTAGAGATAACTTTCTGGGGAAGAGTAAATGTAGTGAATGCATATGTTATACCCAAATGGAATTATTTGTTTCAAATGTTACTACTAAATATCTCTAATAGCTGGCTTGAAATGTTTCAAGCCAGTTTTATGCAATATATATGGAAAAGTAAAAAACCAAGGGAGGTATTGGATATCCAATTATCAAGAATAATTATATAGCCTCTATATTATTACATGTTTATAGAATGCAATTAAGTAATAATGGCAATGAATTATGGTATAAGATGGAAGCTAAGCAAACATAGCCCTGATACCTAAGGAGGGAAAGAACAAGGAGCATTGCGCCAACTACCAGCCTATGTCCCTATTAAACTATTAAACTGCGGTATAAAGCTTTTCGCTAAGATCTTGGCATCCAATAGTGATGGAAAAGTTGTTTCAAGGGGACTAACACCTGGACTGTGGCATGCCGGAGGGGGATCCATGGCAAAACTCCCATGGAAATTTACACAGTTGATGCAGAGTCTGGTCTTAAGCCATAAAGGGCATAAATCACCTAACATTCCTAAATCACAATGGATATGGATTGACACCTGACATATGACATATTTTTTTGAATATTTAATCTTTATTTTAAATTTTTTTCTTTTAAATCTCATTAAATACAAATATCATACAAATACAAATATCATACAAATATACATTTGTAATACAAACAACACAGCAGCAAAATAGGGGAGGGAGAAGAAAAATACATCAGAAAGACTTCCATAATAGAGTGGTAATATCATTTAGATAAATCTCATAATTATTTGCAATGTTCATGGAATTGTTCTACTGTTAATTGAACGACACTATTTTATACATCAATCATCTCAATACACTTTAACCAAACAGAAATCTTATTGCTTAGTCTTTGTTTACTTAGCATCAGCTCCATTCTAATCTGAAAATCGAGTTGAGTTTTAACTTTCTTCCAGGGGACTTCTAAATCCCTTTTCCACCATCTCGCAATTACTATTTTAGCCGCTAAAAACAGATGTATAAGGATTGCTTTTAATTCATATGTCATATGAGGCCAATTTAGATGAAGTAGAACTACCTCTGGAGAGATAATCAACTCGAGTTTTAAATTATTAGATATAAAATGCTGCATTTTCAACCAGAGATTTTTTAATTTATAGCAATCCCACCAAATATGTCTAAAATTGCCTCTAATACTATTGCATCTCCAACAGATAGGATTTACTAGAGGGTAAATTTTATTCAATTTAGCTGGTACTAAGTACCACCTATTTAAAACTTTAAAGTGCGTTTCTAATAAATTTAATGAATGTATATTCTTCTTAACATCCATCATTGAAGAACCCCATTGATTCAGATTTATATCGATATTCAAGTCTTGTTTCCAAGCCTGTATGGCAGTAGGATTTGTGTCTTCAGCTATTGATTTAATTAGTATTAGAGCTTTAGAAAGTGGTTTATTAACTTTTTTTGATGTAAATAATAAATCTATCGAATTGCTTAAATTAGATTTTGGTATTATTAGATGTGTATTTATATAGCTTTTAAGTCTTAAAAAATTAAACACCTCTCTAGGAGGGAGATTGTGTATCTCTGTTATTTGAGCAAAGGTTTTAATTAATCCTTCTGTCAATAATTGGTCCAGAGTCGTTATCCCTACTTTTTTCCAATTATTTAAGTTTAAGTCTTCCACTTGTTTTTCTACAATATCTAACTCTAAATAACTTGGAACTTTTTTTTCTATATTCATTACTTTTTTAATTTTTAACCAATTTTCCAGTAATTGAGTTAGAATAATACTGGCATATTCTTTTTTCTTTGGCATTTTATTTATATTCCAGATTAAACAATCTAAGCTAGAAACTTCTCCTGCCTTCAATTCCATTTTATACCATCCCTCATCTTTATTTTCTTTCATTTGCATTCTATAGACATGTAGGGTAATAGCTGCTTTAAAGTTATTCATTATGAGTGGATAATCAAGTCCACCTTTATATATTTTCTGCGCTAATATTGACTGTTTCAATCTCGGCTTCTTGCCTTTCCAGATGTATTGAGTAAAACTTCTTTGTATTAATTGAAGCCAATGGATTGGGATATGTAGAGGTAACATTTGAAACATATAATTCCACTTTGGTATAACATATGAATTGATAACATTTATTCGCCCCAAAAAAGTAATCTCTAGGTTTCTGCGATCTTTTAACCATTTATTGAGATCTAATAATAATGTTAGGAAATTTACTTCCATAATCTTATTTGTCTCTCTGGTTATTTTAATTCCTAAGTAATCCATACTTTCTTTAACCCAAATAAAATCATATTTGTTTTTAATCTCTCGTTGTATCCTTTTATTTAGGTTAACATCTAGTATCAAGGATTTATTTATATTTAACTTATAGTTTGATATGAAGCTATATCGCTCTATTTCTTGCATTATGCGTTCCAAAGAATTTTTAGGGTTTGTAAGAGTAATTAAAATGTCATCAGCATATAAGCTAATTTTTTGATCCTCATCCATTATTTTATAACCATGGATCTCTTTATTATTCCTAATATTCTCAGCCAATGGCTCAATAGTCAGCAAGTAGAGCAATGGTGAGAGGGGACAACCCTGTCGGGTACCATTTCTAAGTTGGAACCATGGGGCGACTATATTAGGTCCAATAGTTCGTGCAACAGGATTTACATATAGTGCCATTATAGCTTTCTTAATCCAACCTTCCAATCCATAATGTTGTAAAACGGCTTCTAAATATTTCCAGCTGACTCTGTCGAATGCTTTTTCAGCATCAATCGACAGAGTCAGAACTGGAACATCATATCTATTTGCATCATCCAAGATATTAATAATTTTCCTTATACTTGTATAGGAATTTCTACCTGGAACATATCCTATTTGATCTTTATGGATGATTAGTGGAAGAAGTTTTTTTATTCTAGCAGCCAAAACCGAAGCGTATAACTTAGTGTCAACATCTATTAAAGATATCGGACGGTAGTTTTTGATATCAGTGGGGTTTTTATCATTTTTTAGAATAGGCAAGATATTAGCTTTTAGCATCTCTGCTGGTAAAAATCCTCTGTTTGCCGCTATGTTAAAAGCAGAGGTCAAATGTGGACATATTAAATCTTTAAATGTTTTATAAAATAGGTTGCTAAACCCATCCGGGCCTGGTGTTTTAGATTTTTCTAAATCATTTATTGCTTTCATAGTCTCCTCCATAGTTATAGGTTTATTTAAGAAATCATTTTCAATAGAAGTTAATTGAGGCTTCTTTATATTATTTAAATAGTTTTTAATATCCTCATCTGTATTAATCTGAGGAATATTGTATAGATTGGAATAATATTCATTAAAACACTTTCCAATCTCTCTGGGGGTTAGTGCTATTTTTCCGTTCTGTATTATTTTGTCTACCTTATTTTGTACTTTTTGTTTTCTAAGTTTTTGGGATAGCATCTTTTCAGCTCGATTGCCTTTGGAATAATATTTAAATTTTAGTCTAACCATATTTTTAGCTATCGTGTCCATTAATTTTTGCTTTATTTTTTCTTTAAGTTCTAATATTTTTTCATAAATTTCAGAAGATGGAGATTGTTTATTGATATTAGTCAAATCTCTTAATTTTGTATGTAAAAATGCCAAAGTATTATTTTTATCAAGTTGACTTTGTAACTTGATAATATGACCTCTTATAACGGCCTTAAAGGCACACCACAAAATAGATGAATCAATATTTTCTGAGATATTTTCTTTAAAATAATTTTTTATATTATCTCTTATATGAGTTTTTTTTGATTCACAACAAAGCAAATTATCTCTTAACCGCCAAGTATAAGCTTCTCTTTTAAATGTACTAAAAATCATTTCACAAAAAACTCCATCATGATCTGTCCATACTATCTCGTCAATCTTTGTTTTTTTGGTCATATCAATAATACTTGGGTCGACCCAAATCATGTCTAATCTTGAATAGGAAAAATGCACTTTAGAAAAATGCGTATAGTCTCTCTCATTAGGATTAAAAATTCTCCAAATATCAAATAGATTATATTCATCTTTAATTTTTTTTAAGGCTTTTGCTTGTTTTATAACCATCTGATTTAAAATATTTCCTTTCATTAATTTTTTATCTATCTGAGGGTCTAGTACAGCATTGAAATCCCCCGCCACTATTAACTTTCCCACTTTAACTTCATCTACTTTTTCCAGAATTGTTTTTAAATAAGCAACTGGTAAATGATTAGGAAGATATATATTACATAATGTAAAAAGTATAGAGTCAATTTTGCATATTATTATTAAATACCTGCCTTTAGTGTCTTGTATTTGATGAATTACTTCAACTTTAATCTTTTCTCCAAATACCACAGCTACTCCACATTTTTTTTTTCCTTATTGGAAGCTTGAATTATAAGTGGAAATCTTTTACCCCCCCAATTTTGTTTATCCACTTGTCTCCAGTGAGTTTCTTGTAGGAATATTAAATTCAATTGTTTTTCACTGAGGTATTTGTACAATAGATTTCTTTTCGCTATAGTATTCAATCCCTGAACATTAAGTGTAAGCATTTTTATCATATTATTTTCAAAAACCTCCCTGCATCCCTTTCCACTCGATAACCATTGCCCTTCCCTATTGCTGCATAAACATATCTACACAAACACATAGAACAAAATATTAAAATCATAGGAGGAAATCCTCCTTTTTTATCACAAAGACTGTAAATTTTCATATAGAAATTCAGTCTTTACTGTGTCTTTAAATTAGACACTAAGTGGGCGTATCCAGAAAGAGGTAGTAATATTTACAAGTTTGCAATCTCTCTCCAAGAGGGAGAGAGAGAGAAGAGAAAAAAAAAAATAAAAAAAAAAATTTTCTTCCATTATTTTATACTTAAATCAGTTACTCTGTGATTCTTTACTTTAAATAAATCTATTTCCACTTAACTTACTAATACATGTGAATAATTTTCTTTTAACCACCTCGTTAAGTTCAAATCTAATTAATATCAATACTTAGACATATTTGCTTTTAAATCCTTATGTTCCAAGTGCTTGTGTGCATATACTTAATTCTCAATTGACTAGTAGCTTTAAAATGAAAACAAGCCCCATTAACATCAACAAATTAGCAAATTGTGCAAAGCACAATTAAGTAATTCTATATGAGTGGAGAGAAAAAAAATAAAAAAAAAAAAAAAAAAATTCTTCCATTATTTTATACTTAGATCAGTTACTCTGTGATTCTTTACTTTAAATAAATCTGTTTCTACTTAACTTACTAATACATGTGAATAATTTTCTTTTAACCACCTCGTTGAGTTCAAATCTAATTAATATCAATACTTAGACATATTTGCTTTTAAATCCTTATGTTCCAAATGCTTGTGTGCATATACTTAATTCTCAATTGACTAGTAGCTTTAAAGTGAAAACAAGCCCCAATAACATCAACAAATTAGCAAATTGTGCAAAGCACAATTAAGTGATTCTATATGAGTGAAAAAAAAAAAAAAAAGTTAATTTTCTTCCTCTTTCATTCCTTCCTCTCTCCCTCCTCTCTCTTCTCCTCTCTTCTCTCTTCCTTCCATCTTCCTCTCCGCCGCAACAGACCCTTCAAGCTTTTTTATTAATACTTGATAACCAACTATTTGCTTCATTTGCATCCAAAAAAATTTTTCTTTCTTGTTTCCAAGTAAATCTTAAAGATGTTGGATAGGCCCATTGAAACCTAATCTCTGCTTTTCTTAAAAAATCCGTCACGATAGAGAAAGATTTCCTCCAAGTCCTGGTATGATAAGATAAGTCTTGCAAAAAAATTATGTCTTTGTAAATAGAATTTGTTCGGGGTTTGGTACGGCAGGCTTTCATTAAATTATTTCTCAATGATAATGAGGAAAAACTCACTATTACATCTCTTGGGAGATGTGGAGCCGTTGTATCTGGTTTATGTATCCGGTGAAAATTTTCTATTTTATATTCATCTGTAGGTATTTCTGGTAAAACTTCTTCAAATAAATTGTTTAAATATTCTCTCAATTTTTCATTGGAGATTTCTTCAGTAACACCTCTTACTCTGATGTTTCTTTTTCTTGACCTATCTTCCAAAGCTGCTATTTTATTTTCAAGATTATCAACTTTGTTTACTAGAAACTGCACCTCCGTATTAATTGCTTTAATTTGCGTTCCAAACACTTCACATTTTTTTTCAACTTCCACCACTGATACTGCAACATTTTTAATTTCTTGTTTTATCTCATTGAAACTTACAAGCATTTCTTGTTTCAATAAATTTAATTGTAGTTCCAGCGTTTGCTTAAATTGATCTTGGATACTAATTGAAGCAATTGCTTGAGCTTCTGATGGAAATTGATTAAGTGCAACTTCTTGGATAATATTGGAAGTATTACTTGGGTGTGTCTTACTATCAATTATCTGTTCCTGCGGATCTTTAATAGGATCTTTAATAGGAGTTGCAAAAAAACCTGACAACCTCTTTTCTGTTTGTTGAACTGACTTAATTTCTTTTTTTTTTTCCGTTGTTTTCCTGGTTGACATTTTGTTTTATTTCTTAAATACTTCTCAGTGACAAATTAAAACTAGATGTCACATATGAAATTTCAACTCCAAGCTCAAAAAACTAGATTAAATCAATTGGTCAAATAATTGATTCTTGATGTCAATCTCCTCCAACGAGGAAAAAAAAAAAAAAGATTTTCTTCCACTTTTCTTTTTTCCAGGCCAGTAATTATATACAGGTATGATGCCTTACAGTCATATTTTTTAGTAAATACAGAAGTACTCACAGTTTTTTATATATGGCTGTATAGGAGATCACTGAGGGATGTATTTCCTCTTTTTCCCTTTATTTCTCTCTTATTCTTTCCTTCTTTGTATCTCTTTTTTCTTCTTCTTTTTTTTTTTTTTTCGTTTTTTTGCTTGATAATTTATACAGGAATTTATACAGGAACTGTTTTCATTTCTTCTTTGACCTTTTTAACGGTCTATAAGGGAATCGCCACTATTTGCCACTATTTACTCAAAAACGGAGGCAGAAACGGAGGCAACAAACCCCCAGCAAGAACCGGCATATACCACCACGTCAGACCAGGTCCACCGACCCACCAAATCTTCACCGGACCGAGCACTCCCTCCACTTCGTCTAAGCCGGACCACACTCACAAATCGGCACGGAGCGGCATTGCTTGCTCTCGACTCCGCGTCCTCTCTCCTCAACCTCCCTCCGGACACGCCCACCTAAGGCACGTGCGGCGTCTCACGTCATCACGTCCCCCCCTTAAGAGACTTTTCTCTGGTATATGACATATTGACACCTTGACATATGGATTGACACCTGTCCTCAGAGACCCTGATACACACTGACACAGAGCAGAATAGGGACTGTTCCCCCTACATAGGGTCACTTGGCAGATATGGATTGACACCTATCCTAAGGATCCCTGATACACACTGACACAGAGCAGAATAGGGACTGTTCCCCCTACATAGGGTCACTTGGCAGATATGGATTGACACCTATCCTCAGGATCCTGATACACACTGACACAGAGCAGAATAGGGACTGTTCCCCCTACACAGGGTCACTTGGCAGATATGGATTGACACCTATCCTCAGGATCCCTGATACACAATGACACAGAGCAGAATAGGGACTGTTGCCCCTACATAGGGTCACTTGGCATGGATTGTATGGATTGACACCTATCCTCAGGATCCCTGATACACACTGACACAGAGCAGAATAGGGACTGTTCCCCCTACATAGGGTCACTTGGCAGATATGGATTGACACCTATCCTCAGGATTCCTGATACACACTGACACAGAGCAGAATAGGGACTGTTCCCCCTACATAGGGTCACTTGGCAGATATGTATTGACACCTATCCTAAGGATCCCTAATAAACACTGACACAGAGCAGAATAGGGACTGTTCCCCCTACATAGGGTCACTTGGCAGGTATTGATTGACACCTATCCTAAGGATCCCTGATAAACACTGACACAGAGCAGAATAGGGACTGTTTCCCCTACATAGGGTCACTTGGCAGGTATGGATTGACACCTATCCTCAGGATCCCTGATACACACTGACACAGAGCAGAATAGGGAATGTTCCCCCTACATAGGGTCACTTGGCAGATATGGATTGACACCTATACTAAGGATCCCTGATACACACTGACACAGGGGAATATTATACAGGGGAATATTCAGTAAATAAGGATAAGGGGGGACCTACTGTCCTCCACCCCGGCCCCCACCCCTGCATGGTGGGTGGGGGCCATAAATCTCAATGGGGGGGAGAACTGTCCTCTGGCCCGCTCCTACCCGTGAGCGGTGGGTGGGGGCCATAAAAATAATGAGGGGGGGGCTACTGTACGATGTTGTATCGATCAGGTAGTGTAAGGGTTACGCCCGCTTCACAGTGACAGACCAAACTCCCCATTTAACGCACCACAAACAACCGCAAACAGTCCATTTGCACAACCGCAAACTCCCCAGTTGCACAAGGTTGGATACCAAGCTAGCCATGTCCCGTTCCTGGTCCTCACTGATGTCATTGAAGGTCTCTTCCTCCACCCAGCCACGTACAACACCAAGGGTCCCCGAAAGGTGACAACAAGCCCCCTGGGACACCTGCTGTGTTTGGTCTTCCACCTCCTCAAAGCCACCTTCCTCCTCTGACTCCTCTTCTTCTGACTCCTCTCTCTGTGTTGCCTCTCTCTGCGTTATTATAAGGTGTGTTAAGTAGTATTATTCCTATCAGTTTAATCCCTGTTACGTCCCCTATCAGGGGACGTGTATATGGCATTGATTTTAGGTACTGGGAGATGGAAAAAGATGCTTGGTCGGTCCTCCTACTTCAAATTTGGGGCACTGCGCGTGCAATCTAATGTGCCACCAGATAGGAGTGGTGTGTTAAGTAGTACTATTCTTATCAGTTTAATCCCTGTTACGTCCCCTATCCGTTGATGTGGAGCAAGACGCAGCAGCAGAAGAGGACTCAGCCGAGGAGGTTATGGAAGAGGATGGAGTAGGAGGAGTAGAGGAGGTGGCCTGCCTGCAAGTCGTGGCGGTGTCACCAACTCCTCTGCAGAGCCACGCATTCCATGTAGGCCTGACAGACCCGCTTGAAGGCAACTAACTGCCATTCAATCTATAACAGTGAAAAAAGTTTTTTGTTTTTAAATGCAAGCTATTGTGACACCAGATATGAGTGGCACTGTGAACTGGCAGAGGTTGGCAGAGTACACGCTGTAGGGCTGACACACCCGCTTTGAGACAACTAACTGCTATTCAATCTATAACAGAGAAAAAAGTTTTGGGGTTTTTAAATGCACGCTATTGTGACACCAGATAAGAGTGGCACTTTGAACTGGCAAAGGTTGGCAGAGTACACGTTGTAGGCCTGACACACCTGCTTGAAGACAACTAACTGCTATTCAATCTATAACAGTGAAAAAGTTTTTTGTTTTTAAATGCAAGCTATTGTGACACCAGATATGAGTGGCACTGTGGGCAAGTGGGCACAGTATACGCTCTTGAGCCTGACACACAGGCGGTTGGAGACAACTAACTGCTATTCAATCTATAACAGTGAAAAGAAGTTTTGGGGTTTTTAAATGCACGCTATTGTGACACCGGTGAGTGAGTGGTAGCGCACACAGGCAAGAATTATGGGCACAGTATACGCTGTGAGCCTGACACACAGAACTTGCAGACAACTAACTGCTATTCAATCTATAACAGTGAAAAAAAGGATTTTGGGTTTTAAATGCCGCTATTGTGACACCAGTGAGTGGTGGCACTGGGCAAGAAGTGGAGCACAGTATGCGAGCCTGACACACAGGCAGCTTGCAGACAACTAACTGCTATTCAATCTATTACAGTGAGAAACTATTTTTTAAATGCAAGCTATTGTGACACTAGTGAGTGAGTGTTTGGCACTTTCGGCAGAGTGGGCACAGTATGTAAGCTGCGAGCCTGACACACAGACGTTTGGAGACAACTAACTGCTATTCAATCTATAACAGTGAAAAAAGTTTTTTGGTTTTTAAATGCACGCTATTGTGACACCAGTGAGTGAGTGGTGGCACTGTCAAGTGGGCACAGTATACGCTGCAAGCCTGACACACAGACGCTTGCAGACAACTAACTGCTATTCAATCTATAACAATGAAAAAGGTTTTTTGGTTTTTAAATGCACGCTATTGTGACATCAGTGAGTGAGTGGTGGCACTGGGCAAGTGGGCACAGTATACGCTGCGAGCCTGACACACAGACGCTTGCAGACAACTAACTGCTATTTAATCTATTACAGTAAAATACATTTTTTTTTTTTTTTAAATGCAAGCTATTGTGACACCAGTGAGTGAGTGGTGGCACTGGGCAAGTGGGCACAGTATCCACTGTGAGCCTGACACAGAAGCTGGCAGACAACTAACTGCTATTCAATCTATTATAGTGAAAAAAAAAAAAAATGTAAATGCAAGCTATTGTGACACCAGTGAGTGAGTGGTGGCATTGGGCAAGTGGGCACAGTATCCACTGTGAGCCTGACACAGAAGCTGGCAGGCAGGCAGGCAACTGCAATTACATTACACAGAAAAAGAAGAAAAAAAAAAGCAGACTGATGTTAAAGCCCTAAAAAGGGCTTTTTGGGGGTGCTGTCCTTACAGCAGAGATCAGATGAGTCCTTCAGGACTGTAGTGGACACTGTATACCCTAACCTAGCTATCCATTTCCCTATCAAATCAATAGCAGCTACACTTTCCCTCCTCTCACTAAGCATGCAGCTTGAGAATGAATCTAAAATGGATGCTGTCCAGTAGGTGGGAGGGTCTGCTAGGGAGGGTCTGCTGCCAATTGGCTGGAATGTGTCTGCTGACTGTGAGGTACAGGGTCAAAGTTTACTCAATGATGACGAATAGGGGGCGGATCGAACCGTGCATATGTTCGCCCGCCGCGGCGAACGCGAACATGCTATGTTCGTCAGGAACTATTCGCCAGTGAACCGTTCGGTGCATCACTAGTTATAAGTTTAGATGGTCTGGTTTGGAGTACTAAGTCGATAGGGAAAAAACATTATCCCAATATTATTATAACACATTTGTTGAAAAATTGGGAAAAAAATTAAGTAATGTTAAAGATCAAAAACAAAATTCCAATATATCTTGATCTGAAATTTATTAAACAACAAGTCTGTGACTTAAATTTAATTAAGTGGGCACAAGTGGGGATTAAAAAGATATCTCAGGGGGCGTGGCTAGCCGAGCAAGGAACAAGACGTGCTGGTGTGGAGCTCCTGCAAACCGCACAGCTAAATAGATTTAAAAACCACGGAGAAAAACCTGAAAACCGGCAATATTAATACCTGAGTACTCCAAGACCCCCTGGAGAAAAATGGGACGCAGAAACCGTAAGCTGACCCACTCGGGAAGCACTAAGCAAGCGGACATCCGCGTCCTTTGAAAGGCCGCAGCCGCACGCACTGCCCAAGATGGCGCCCATGGGTCCACGAGACTCGAGCTCCGCCGAAGACTCTGCAGAGGATGACAGCAGTTCACCAGCGTTGAACGGGGTATACAGGAGCGACGACTCTGACTCCGACGCCTCACCCTCCACAAAGGGGGATATTAAAAAACTCTTGGTCGATTTAAGGGAGGTCTGGAAGGCCGACCTAGCTGGCGTGCGCACCGAGGTTGACAGCCTCGCTGCTAGAATCACAGGGGCTGAAACTAGAGAGGGGAGGAGAGAACAGGAGCTGTTGGAGACACAGGCCCAAATGAAAACAATGTCCGAGCAAATACAACGACTCACCCGAGCGGTCACATCAGTAGAGGCCAGACACCGCAGGAAAAATGTGCGGATCCGCGGGGCGCCCGAGAGCGTGGGCCCAGATGCTATCCTCGAATTTGCCAACGCAGCGGTGGCAGCACTAGGAGTGAGACCCACAGCGGGAGCACCACCCATAATGACCGCTTTCCGAATACGGAAGGCCCCAACCGCCCCCGCAGACGCACCCAGGGACATCATAGCGATTACCAGGGACATATCTGTTAAATCTGCAATCCTGACCCGATCAAGAAGCACCCCCACCGTCGCCCTGGATGGATGTTCCATCCGTATATATGAGGACTTACCTTTTAACATCCTATTTGAGAGACGGAGGTTCATGCCTGTGACAAGGAAGCTCCGAGAAAATGGGATAAGATACAGATGGGGAGCATCGGGCACTCTTGTGGTGCAACAAGGGGACTCTATCCTAACCCTGTCGGCGCAGGAAGACCCAGCGGGTTTCCTGAAGGCGCTACACCTATTGCAACAGACTACCACCACGCAGGCCACAGTTACAACCTCCACATCTGAAGTGTCCAGCCTAGAGAGACGATCATTCAACGAAGCTGGAACAGCGCACAAAAAATCACGACTGTTGAACCCGACCAAGACCTAACCAGCCGGGGAACAACCGGCGTCTCCTGGGCCTCCTCAACCCTGACCCCGCTAACACTTCACCGGGACTGTGCCAGCCTCTTTCCCAGTGCAGAAACGTTCACTGACACGGCTACTGTGGTAACCCTTAGCTATAAGTACTAAGCCTATGGCATGCCAGAAGGCAATTTCTCTATACATACAAGAGACAAACGGCAAATGTACAAGTTTTTGATAATTCTCTGAGTCTTAAATTTTTATTACACTTCATATATTCTATATTTTTTTGTTATTTTTTTTAATTAATTTATTTATTTATTTTATTTTTTTTTTTTGTTATTATTATTATTCCCCATTATTATCACCGTCTGCTATTAAGACTTACTAGGTGAAATTTAACTACGGCACCCCAGCCTGCTAAGCACTAAAATGCACAGCCTTAGACCACATACGACGCACAGGCTTTACTAATATTGATGTTGACATTAATGACTGTAATTTACTAACTCAAATTGTGCTCATTAAGTGTGGCTCTCGCGGGAGAGGCACCGGCACATAACAGGCAGTTATACCTGAACTAGTTAATTTGACATAGATTGAGACAACATGCATATTTTTTATACCTAAGACATCTTTTTTTTTTTTTTTTTCATAGCCCTAAGCTGCAAGGTTGCTACAAGCATAATTGTCCCACGGGGGCCACCTTACTCGCATAAGCTGGGCCTACGACCCATGCGCGGCGTCGCTACCAAGACATGCTACCAAAGATTGTTTGTAGGTGCCATCACTATGAGACCACCAGGTCCGGGCATGGTGTGTACAACGAAGGGTAGGTCAGATGTCTGAGTTTTTTTAAATCCACAGACCCCTACCATAGCAATTACCTGAGCCCCCTGGAGACTACTGCTCCAATTTCAGTGCATATTGGGAGGATATGCAGCAGCACAGTTTTAAGGGCAATGTTTGGGTATCCTATTTTTTTTTTATTTATTTTTTTTTTTTTTTTTTATGGGTACTTTCTCATACTCAAAACGTATTTTTATTCCTTTTAATTTAAATTTAATTTTTTATTTTTTTTATTTTCTCATACCTATTGTTAACGACCATACGTTTACACCCTGTAGCACCAAAATGTGCGACTGTATTCTACCATGTTAAAGCATTGCTTAATTGCGCCTGTGCCTGCTGTTGGGGCACCACAGGCTTGTCTGTACATCTTGTTGCACAAAATAAAATAAAGAATTTAAAAAAAAAAAAAAAAAAAAAAGATATCTCAATTATTAGAAAATGGAGTACTTAAATCTTTTCCTCAACTGAGGAATGATTTTAACCTACCATCACAAGAACTATTAAACTTTTTAAGGTTAAAGAGTTTTTTTAACATCACATCTAATAAAATTGGATTATTTAGAGTCAAATAGAATAAAAACATTATTCAACTCAAACCCTTTAGAAAAACGATTTGCTAAAGCTTTATCTTTAAGTAGATCCCTCATGAAAGAATAAAAACCTACAGCTTTAAATACGTGGAAATAACTGAACGTTAACATAGAAATGAGTGACTGGGGTCCACACACTCTTTGAATATGTTGGCATCTCATTACAAAGTAATCAATAGATGGCATTTAGTTCCAGATAAACTGCATAGGATGTTTCCCATAGCAGACCATTTATGTTGGAGATGTGGGTCATCAATAGGTACATATCTTCATATTTGTGGAACTGCATAAAAATACAAAAATTATGGGATGAAGTACATAAATTTATTGCAAATAACCTACATTTTTAAATGAATTTCACTCCAGAAGTAGTATTGTTGCATTTAAACTGGCCCACTATGAACCCCAGTGAATAATTTAATTATAACTCACTTATTTTTAGCCACTAAAATTGTCATATCCAGAAACTGGAAAAATTGAAATATCATTCCTTGGTCATAGGTAATAAACAAACTTAAATTTCAGATCAAAATGGAACAAATGTTTGGACTACAAATTCTCTGTAAGAAACTTGCTTTATGGAACGCATGTTAGGAATTAACTAGTAAAATCAAATTTTATTTTTAGTTTAAGAAGCAAACAAGACAATTTGGTATCCCCGGACTGAATTAGTAACCGTTTTTGTAAAAGTGCAGTTTTTAATATAAAAGATATGTAGGAAAACTTTTACTATGAGTATCTCCCTCCCTCTCCGTCAATTAAGATATTAGCAATACATATCGGTGTGTTTGCTTGTTTATTATGTCTATGTCTATTTGTAAATATGTTAAGTAATAGGATGTCCTGGTAAGACACTTTAAATGACCTAAGTAATATGTATAAAGGTATTAGTCTGTTGTAATCCATATATGCAAAATAATAACTGGACTAATCTTGTATCATGTATTGCATGTTGTTTTGTATCAAATGTAAAAAAAAATTCTTAATAAAGATTATTTATAAAAAGAAAAAAAATAAGAAGCCACAACAAAAAAGACCCCGAAGTCAGGTTGAAACGTTTCCGGTTCCACACTGGTGGAATAAATCTCTTTGACATTTATTGTGGTGTTGCAGTAACTTATTGTTTTTCTACATACACATTCACAGATACACACACACTGACACATACACACTCAGATTTAGACACAAATAAAATCAGACACATACAAACACTGACACATAAATACTCACACAAACATGCAGGGTCCTGCTGCAGGAGTGCGGGTTTGGTGCTCCCCTTGCACCTCCCCACTTCTGTGCTTGCTCTCTCCCTGTCCTGTAGCTCCCTCTGAATTTTGAAGGAAGTTACAGACGCTCACTTCCTGCCAGCATTAATTATGTGACAGGGGCCCAGTTGTGCTGTTAAAGGGCTGCTGCATTCAACTGAGGCCCTTTTCAGAAGTACACATCGGGTGGCCCTAAGTGTACTGGCACTAGTTCTGCCACTGTGTTTTGTAGATACGACAAGGTTTTGATTGAAGAGTTAAACAAACCTTTAGTGACTGTCTTCCTGACACTGCAACAATCTAGTGTTATACGGTTAAGTGACATTCGACATCCAAGAGGACGTCAAACGTCATCAAATGCAGATCATAGAGAAATATTGAATTCAGTACTTCCCTATGAGAAGCATTTCATTGGGCACACGTGTGATGCTTGCTGTGTACGCTCATCTTGTCTCCAATGCACCTCTAGGATCAGAATTGGACAAGAAGCCAGGAAGTGATGCCCATAGCATGAAGTCGCAGAAGGAGGAGTAAGCGACAGCACCAAATAAGTCTTAATGCTGGGGGAAAATATAATTAAAAATCTTTTTTTAAACTATTTTTTATGTAGCAAGTGGGGACCTTGAATCTAAATAGGGAGTTGGGTAGCATTAGGACTACATGTATGTGTTCCTAACACTATAGTGTTCTTTAAAGCTAAAATAGTTAAAGTCAAAACAAAGCCTTGTGCATTTTTATGACAATTGACACTTTAGTGACTAACCAGGTCAGGTTCCTGTTTTCATAATGAGCATGCCCCTAAACACTGTATATAGGGTAGTATAATCTAACCCTTGGCACCCCAAATGCAGTAAACTAAAGGGGTTATATTTGAAAGAGCTGTTCTTAGCCGTGAATTAAAAACTTGGAGCAAACTGGGACATTGGCCTTATTTAGAATTTTGCCTCTGACTGGCACATGGTACACGTTAAAGGGTTGGTCCAAGCACCTCCATTGCTTCACTTATTTAAAGTGGTCATAGAGGCAGAGCACTGTGGCAACAGACAACCAATGGCGGGAGGAAGTGATGTCAACGGACAAAGATCGGGCCGGGACCTTTTCTTCGTTGAGATATTTGAGACAGCCCTTTAATTATACAGACGTCTGCCAGATCAAGGACTTTGAAAACCAATTTAGTTTGAATCTGAGAACCAGAGCTTTTTGTTTTCTAAGTAATCTTCATCTACTCACTGACCCAAGTGAACAATGTACATACAGCTATCTATTTACCTAAGGCTACCTTTATGTTTTCGTGAATACATGATTGATGAGAGTACATGAAAAATGTTGTCCTGTAGTATGTATAAGTGATATGTGTTTACGATTAACTGGTGGTGCAACCATATATGCATTCAGTGATGCTCAGATAGTCAAATACTATTGGCACACTAGCTGTTGTTGGCTACATATGCCATAATGACTAAGCAGTGGAAAAAGCTGTCCACAACAGCTCCCATGTGGTTTTGGTGGCAGGTTTAATAACGTAACATGTTGGTGAAGCCAAAGCTCTTTTCTTACAGAAAAAAAAGTTATTTACTAATGTGTGATTTTTCATTATTTTCATTTCATAGTAATTCTGTGAATGCTCTTTCAGTTGTGTGTCTTGATGGGTAACATATCTGAGCGAGGCTTACAGTCACAATCATTTGGCAAATTACAAGATATATTAGACAATGGGTGAGATCTATCTTGCAGAATAGCCTGTGCTTTTTAAGTGAGATGCTTATATTAAGTATACGTTAATTAATTATACATTCTATTTAAAAAAAAATAAGTTTATTATGCTATAATTTGTTCTTGCTTTAAGAAACATGTATTGAAACACATTTCTTTCCTTAACAGAATATCAGCACTGGCCTGGCCATAGCTGGCGTGGTTTTGTTTGCAAGGAGTATAAAACTGGTAAGTTGAGTTTTCAGCAGGTTAAGCAATCTCCAGGGATATGATCTTTAAAGTAAACACATATTCTGTGACTTGTTCTTAATTCGTAGAGTTGCAAATGCCTGCAGCAATAAGATTTTAGTTGTGACTCATTCATGCAAAAGCAAAATTATGTTTCACAGTAATGGTTTTACAGATTGGAAACTAGTTTCTAAAATTCAGTTATATGATTGAAGTGGTAAATATACCATGAATAGAGGCTGGATGACCTACTATTGTGAGCAAGAGACTGCTTCACTAGATAATGGGTCACTGACTATTACACTGAGTTATTGTTTGGTGGTGAAAGTACCTGTGTATGTTATGAGATCATTACATACCCTCTCACCTACCACTCCCCTTTCCTACCTGTTAGCAAGTAGTGGGACACTTTTTTGTTCTTGCTACCAGAGGTGATGTCATAGCAATATGGTCCAATGGCCACGGTGTAACGAGAATATACCCCTACACGCAGGATCCAGCTAAACAGAAGCCAATACAGAGGAGAGATACGTCTACCGGACCTTAGAATGGCCGGACTCGACGTATATTAGAGGAGACAGAGCCAGGAACAAACCGAGGTCAAGGGCACAGAGAGACAGCGTAAACTAGGACAAGCCGGGGTCTGGTACACGGAAAACAGCAAGCCGGCAAACAGTACAGATAAGGATAAAGCGAAAACGAAGTCAGAATACGAAGCCAAAGTCAATGCGAGAAAACACAACTGAACACCACAAGCGCTAAAGGGAACTGAAACAGAAACCACGATAGGGCAACGAGCTAAGGGAAAAAGGTAAGTTTAAATAGCTTTTAAGCGAAAGTGATTGGCTCCTGTCACTTCCACACCCCCAAAAGGTAATTGTATAGGGAGTGTGGTATGACAGGAGCCAATGGGAGCCTTTTGGCAATTAGGCTCCCACTGTCTCTTTAAGGGCGCGCCCGAGACTCGCGGCGCGCTCTTAGTTTCAGGCGGGACACGTGACCGCTTCACGCGGTCACTGCCCGCCTTCCATCTAAAGCAGTCGGATGAGCCGCGCGCGGCTCGTGCAGCCGCAGGACCGTACGCGGCTTGAAGAGAGGACCGCGACCGGCCCCCGGTTAAGGTAAGTAACGCCTCCGGGCGGGTAGGACCAGGCCTGGCAGGAAAACGAGAATGGAAAGAGCGCACAAGGCGGGGAGCATGAACAGCATCAGCCGAAATCCAACTGTGCTCCTCAGGCCCATAACCCTTCCAATGTACCAAGTACTGAAGTCGACCCCTAAGGAAACGAGAGTCAAGAACAGCAGACACTTCGAACTCCTCATGACCCTCCACAGAGATAGGAGGGGGAGGAGGAGTATGCCGGGTATAGCGGTTGCGCACGAAAGGTTTCAACAATGAGGTGTGAAAAACATTAGGAATACGTAGATTCTTAGGCAGGCCTAAGGCATAAGAAACAGGATTAACCTTATGTATAATACGATAAGGTCCAATGAAGCGGGGAGCCAATTTCATAGAAGGCACCCGGAGACGAATATTCCGTGTGGAAAGCAAAACCCTGTCCCCCACAACATAGGACGGAGCTGCTCTGCGATGCTTGTCAGCCTGAGCCTTCTGGCGAGTAGCAGAGTCCACCAAAGAGCGCTGAACCTGCTCCCAAGTATTACGCAAACCAGCCAAATGCTCATCCAGAACTGGCATGCCCTGTGAGGAGAATGCAGCCGGAAGAACAACGGGATGCTGGCCATAGACAACGTAAAAAGGGCTCTTGCCGGAAGAATCATGAGTGGCGTTATTTCGAGCAAATTCAGCCCAAGGAAGCAGGTCAGACCAATTGTCCTGATGGTGAGACACAAAACAACGGAGGTATTGCTCCAGAGACTGGTTGGCACGTTCAGCAGCCCCATTAGACTGGGGATGATAAGCGGAAGAAAATGAGAGAGAAATACCCATTTCTGAACAAAAGGCCCTCCAGAACCTGGAAATAAATTGGCTACTCCTATCGCATACAATAGATACGGGAATACCATGTAATCGAAATACTTCTCTAGCGAAGATATGAGCCAGTTCCTTGGATGTGGGCAACTTGTGAAGAGACACGAAGTGAGCCATCTTGGAAAACCGATCCACTATCATCAGGATTACTGTGTTACCATTTGAAGGGGGTAATTCAACAATAAAATCCATGGACAGGTTACACCAAGGTCTCTCGGGAACGGGTAACGGATGCAACAGCCCACAAGGAACTCTACGGGAGGATTTCATACAGGCACAAGTAGTACAAGCACTTATATAGTCAGTGACATCCTTTCGTAAGGAATCCCACCAAAAATACCGAGAAACAGCTGACACCGTTTTGGAAATACCAGGATGTCCAGCAGTCTTAGTATCATGATATAATGACATAATATCCGTCTCTCGGAAACATCAACGAACAGTTTATCATTAGGCCTCTCGCTAGGTGCCATGCTTTGTTTCGCTTGTATGGCCTGCAAGAGGGACGAGGAAATAGACAAAATAGTAGTAGCTATTATCCTGTCTGGGGAATGACAGGAGTAACATCAATCTCCTGTTTGTCAGTAGTTTCGAACTGTCTGGACAGAGCGTCTGCTTTAGTGTTGCGATCACCTGGCCTATAGGTGATAATAAAATTGAAACGGGACAAAAATAGTGACCACCTAGCCTGCCTGGAAGACAATCTTTTGGCTTAGCTAAGGTAGGATAGGTTCTTGTGATCCGTAAAAATGAGGATAGGATCCTTAGTTCCTTCTAACAAATGTCTCCACTCTTTAAGTGCTAAAATAATAGCAAGGAGTTCGCGATTACCCACATCATAATTTTTCTCTGCTTTGGACATTTGTTTAGAAAAGAAGCCGCATGGATGCAATGGCTTTTCAGGCGACTCTCTTTGGGATAGGACAGCACCTACCCCAATATCCGAAGCATCAACTTCAAGAATATAAGGCAGTGAGGGGACAGGATGCTGTAAAATAGGTGCAGAGGCGAACGTAGTTTTAAGAAATTCAAAAGCCTGAAGTGCCTCGGTAGACCAAACACGAGTATTGCCATCCTTTTTAGTCATACGGGTAATAGGTGCTACAATGGACGAGAAACCTTTGACAAAACGTCTATAATAATTGGAGAACCCAAGAAAACGCTGAATAGCTTTCAGACCTTGCGGTAGAGGCCATTCTATTACAGCAGCAAGCTTCTGGGGATCCATACGAAAACCTTTAGCGGAAATCAAATACCCCAAGAACTGGACTTCGGTTTGGTCAAACAAACATTTTTCTAGCTTGCAATAAAGACCATTAGCAAGAAGGGTCTTCAAAACTGTCGTAACATGTCTGTGATGAGTGTGTATGTCTGTAGAATATATTAAAATGTCGTCCAAGTACACGATAACAAATGTGTGAATAGGGTTGGTGGGATTGGTTTGGGTTTTCAACATAGTAGCATGCTCCTAAGATTGTGACGACAACACATGAATAAAATGGTAAAGTGTAGGTTTTGATGATTTTGTTTGGTTTAACAATGTAGATTGCTGATACTGCTTATGGCTGGAAGGATCTATCGACATGATAGTTGTACTATCCGTTTGCAGGTTGGATATCGGGGTAGTGGTGCAACAGGTTGACTAAACAATCATGGGTTCGGTACATGAAGGTGCTGATTAAATATGGGTATAGCAAATGAACAAAAGGAGGACTGGTAGGTACCTTAATAGAATTCAAAGGTGTGACTTCAAACGTACAAGACTCGTGGCAGGCCTCACTCCATGATTTTATTTGCCCTGTCTCCCAGTCAAAATGGGATTGTGAGCACGTAACCATGGATACCCTAATACTAACTGTGAAGAGGGAGAGTTGATGACCTGGAATCGAATGGTTTCATAGTGTAAAACCCCTGTGTACATGTGTAATGGTACAGTCTCATGAGTAACAACTGGAGAACTTAATGGTCTACCATCTATGTCCTCAACGGCCAAGGGTATCTCCTTCTCTCTGATGGGAATGTTGTTTCTCTTTATAAAGCCAGAGTCTATAAAATTTTCAGCTGCCCCAGAGTCAACCAGAGCATATATGTTGTCAACTATACAAATCTCCCCCATATATAAAGAAACCGGGAGAAGCAAGCGGTTAGGAGGCAATTTAGGAGACTTAGATATCACACCCAAGGCCAGTCCCCTATAAGGTCTTAGGTGCGAGAGTTTTCCGGGAGTAAAGGACATTCCTTTACCATATGGTCTCTCCTACCACAGTATAGGCAGAGTCCCTCCCTTCTCCTATGTAATTTCTCAGTATCAGAGTTTGGCAACCCCTAATTGCATAGGTTCCTCCTCAGACACTTTAACACTCTCTGGTATATTAACTCTGGGGTTAATGGGTGTAACAAAACGTCTATTCCTGTTCTTGGTATAGAGCCTGTCACGAATTCTAATATCTATATCAATGAGGTAATCAATAAGGTCCTCTAAGGCAATAGGAAGCTCCTTAGCTGCTACCTCATCCAATATCGTATCTGACAAACCTTCCATGAAGGCAGTAGTTAACCCATTGTTGGTCCAATCTACCTGCGAAGCAAGAGTGCTAAACTGAATAGCATAATCAGCCACAGACCTAGAACCCTGTTTAATTCTCATTAATGCTCTCGCGGCATTCTTTGACCTTTTCATTGTGTCAAAAGTTCTACGAAAAGCCGTAAGAAAACTGTTGAAATCATGTACCATAGGTCCATTAGCTTCCCAAATAGGATTTGCCCACTTAAGTGCCTTATCGGTAAGTTGGTGCATAAAGAACCCAACCTTAGACCTCTCTGTGGGAAATGAACGTGGATACATTTCGAAGTGGAATTCAATTTGATTAATAAACCCTCTGCAAGTCTTAGAGTCCTCCATACCTAGGAGGAGGTGTTAAATGGGCCGAAGTATTAGGCAAAGTAGATACTTCAGGGAGAAGGGGCGTAGGAGGGTTAGGTGTGGTTGCTGGAACGGTTCTAGCTAGGAGCGTCTGGAGAGCCTGAGCTATCTGATCCATACGGTGATCCTGCTCTACAAATCTTGCCTCATGGGACGCCATCTGTTGAGCTAAATCTGCGGGGTCCATGGCCCCATCGTAATGTAACGAGAATATACCCCTACACGCAGGATCCAGCTAAACAGAGGCAAATACAGAGGAGAGATACGTCTACCGGACCTTAGAATGGCCGGACTCGACGCATATGAGAGGAGACAGAGCCAGGAACAAACCGAGGTCAAGGGCACAGAGAGACAGCGTAAACTAGGACAAGCCGGGGTCTGGTACACGGAAAACAGCAAGCCGGCAAACAGTACAGATAAGGATAAAGCGAAAACGAAGTCAGAATACGAAGCCAAAGTCAATACGAGAAAACACAACTGAACACCACAAGCGCTAGGGAACTGAAACAGAAACCACGATAGGGCAACGAGCTAAGGGAAAAAGGTAAGTTTAAATAGCTTTTAAACGAAAGTGATTGGCTCCTGTCACTTCCACACCCCCAAAAGGTAATCGTATAGGGAGTGTGGTATACAGGAGCCAATGGGAGCCTTTTGGCAATTAGGCTTCCACTGTCTCTTTAAGAGCGCGCCCGAGACTCGCGGCGCGCTCTTAGTTTCAGGCGGGACACGTGACCGCTTCACGCGGTCACTGCCCGCCTTCCATTTAGAGCAGTCGGATGAGCCGCAGGACCGCGCGCGGCTAGAAGAGAGGACCGCGACCGGCCCCCGGTTAAGGTAAGTAACGCTACACACAGTGATAAGATATTTAGATATATGTTTGTAACATTTGTGTATAATTGTATACTGCAAGTAGCAAATATTTATTTCCACCAGAGGTATAAAAGATTTAGTCCAGATCATGTTCGGAAAGTAAATGCTATATCAACTTTTTTTTACCAATCTATTTTTTGTCTACATTGTTTGAAATGGCAGCATACTAGTGTTTTTGACAGACTACAACAGTGTGAATACAATTGTTTCTCCTATGTACTACTATTAAAGGCTTACTCACCACATTTTTAATGAACATTTTTATTTTTTCGACTGTCCTACTGGGGATTAGTAATTAGGTCACCTCCTTATAAACCTGCAAAATAAGCTATAAATTTTCCTGGAATCCAGTACCAAGTGAGGTTACCCTCGCCATGGTTTCCATGCCCAATCTGACATCACTATTTCCATTGCAAGATCCAATCAAAGGGTTTTCTTTGGCTCAGAGTGCATGCTCGCTGTCTAAACTGAGGAGGTAATGGAGATAGAAGTGGAGTGCAGGCAGGGAGAGGAGCCCAGTGAGCTGTTCTAAATTGGTTTGATGAATTACATTGGGGAGGCACCAAAGCACTCCTGGTGCCATAATCAATACAGCACTCTTTAGTGGTTATGGTGCTTAAAGTGGTTGGTTTAATGGATCTGCCTAAGGAAGGAAAGCAGCAACAAAAAAGAAAAAAAAAAGAATTTACAGTGCATAAAATTTTGTTTTGTTAGAAGACCAAGTCTGGGGCAAAGTTTAGACACCCAGATTATAAGCTAATCAACAAATAGAATGTCCCAGCTGATTTTCCTGCTGTGAGAACTTTACACAATAATTTCTTTTTCTACATAACCGCAATGCTTTAAATCAATGTTTTCCTCTTACTGTGTACACATAGATTAGCAATCAAATGTATATACTATTGTAATGCTCTTCAATTGCACTGTATACATGGTTTAGAGACTTTCAATAACATAGCCCTATATCCCTTCACAGTGAATACCAGTTTGGATCTCAAATATCTCATAATCAAAAGTGTGAGGTAGTGTTTATAATGAGTCTTGGGTATAATCTATACATTTTTTTCCCAGCCTATATTGAGCTTCACAAGAGGTCCAAGCTTTTGCATTCCATAATTGCATTCAACCTCAGATATATTTGCATGCATACTGCATGTGTACAACTTTAATTTCATGAAAGCAACAGTTTGTTGGGAGAGCCCCCATTTTTTTTCTAGTTTTTTTTCTTTTTTTCTTTTTTGCTAGTAAAAACAGTTTAACAATAACCTAAAGGAGTGAACCCAAAGATTTAATGCACTACATTAACTACAATACACTGTAGTGATTGTGGTGTTTACAATCACTATTACAGTTTGATTATGTGGAGGAAGGGGGGTTCTTTTTCTATATAATTTTCTAGTTAGAGTTACGTCCTTGGGCAAACATTTTTTTAAACTTATTTTTTTTAATGAATGCTATCTTAAAAGGAAGCTTTAAATAATACATTTTCCCTTATGTGTTTTTGCAGGCTAACAGCTCCTTAGCTTCTAGTCTCCCATTTCCTTTTCAAATCTCAACCTGTTTCCCTTCTGGAGCCAATCAGAGTGAAGCAATAATTCACTATTAGAATCATTACGTCAGGACTAAGGCTCATTTCCAACCTTGTCAGTATATAACTTTCCAAAAAAATGTTGCTATCAACAACAGGCAGTAACTAGTAGTTTCCAAACTTGTTGCTATTTTTTCTATTGGCTATCTTTTTTCTATTTCTATCTTTTTTTTTTTTTTAATGTAATTCTTTATTTTATCGTGTACGAAAAATACAAAGAGGCAAGCAATGCCACAACCGCTATTGACAGCTTTTAGGTCAACATTTAAAGACATTCATTTGGCATATCAGAAGATTGCACATTTTATTTTATATTATATTGTAGATTCATCAAGGATTAGATCAACATGTCAGTTATAAGATAAGGCAGACATAATACTGATTCGGATTAACATACTGACTTTTTGTAAGATTATAGGGTCACAAGCTTAACTAAGGCTTATTTGTGTGAGTTAAAAAAATGAAAAGCATAACTAAGCACAAGGTAAACAAATTAGGTAACTGCTTTTATAAGGTAAATTATGATCATCTAACATTGCTTAATAGTGAATGGATGTATATCCCTGGGTAGTCAAATACACAATGTATAGGTTGGGAAACCCTATCTCTTTCTGTGCTGTGCTATCTTTAATCAATGCGTCATTTAACCTATGCCTTCCACTGCATGCCTAGTGGCCTTGTGAGAGAAATTACAGAGTCCTGCTTCGTGTTACCCCACCAGTCCCAGATTAGGTGGCTGTTCCCCTCTCCGGTCTCATTACTCCATCGTGCGGTTGCAGGCAAGATATTTGCACCGGGCCCTCTATAAGGGTTCCACTGCTCGTGGTGGGCGGAGAATATCCGCGGGGTTCAGTGGTGTTGAAGGGTTCTTCTCCAAAGGAGAAGTGGTCTGCAGGTTTCAGCTGGGCCGAGCCATCTGCGTTGGGACACTTTATGAGGCCTCCACCTCCGCTTCCCCACTTGTCATACTGCGTTAGGTATTAGCCCGGACTGCAACGATTTGTATTCGTTCTGTAAGGGGCTGGCATGGAGCGAGGTCGCAACGGCAGGTCTTGTCTGGCGCTGTTTGGTGTGTTCCCAGTATTGCTTCCAGAAGCGTTTGAAGGCCAGAGCAATGCGGTCACTGGTGTCTGGGTCGTTCTTGGCCTCCACTGAGCGGGTTTCCTGCTCCGCATGTACCCTCGGGTCCAGGTGTGGTGAGTGTGTGGAGAACCTTGATGACTCCTGCCGGCCATGGGGGGGGGGGGAGATGGGAGCAAGCTCGGGCTCAAGAGCTTGGAGAGTGGCCGCAAGGCTTCATAAGTGGTGTTGCCAGGCTGTGAATAGGTGGCCCGCTGTGGCATTGTATACTTAAAAGTCATTCTTGACTGGAAGAGCCTGTAATGTTAGGGACTCAGGCCCAGAGCTTGGGCAGCATGAGACCAGTCGGCTCAGCAGTAAGGCTCTGCCCCATATTTGACTATTTTAAAGGTATTTATCACTACTTTTTATGAATTGTTATGGTATTGAATATGTATTGCGCAACATTTACTAATGTTTGTTTTCCTGCAGCCTTAAATGTCCCTTTAACCCCTTAAGGAGGTTATGCCGTCCTTGGGGACCTGGCTCTTAACGCCGGGGAGCGGCATAGCACATCCCTGCCGTCCTATTTACTTACCCGGTCACCGGCGATCACGGTGGGGGACTCATCTGGCATCCCAGGGAGTCCCCTGCTGCTGATCCGGCCTTCCTGGGCTTGCAAGGAATTCACGATCACATGGACGGCATAGCCGTCCGCAGCATTGCAAGCAGGGGGAGTGCCTGTAATGACAGGTACTCCCCCTGCTGCCTGAAATAAATAAAATAAAAGTTAAAACACAGTTTAAAATCAAATATATATACTTAGATCATATATATATTTATTATATATATATGATCTTATATATATATATATATATATATATACACATATACTGTCTAAGTGTATTTTAATATTAATAGATTAATATCAAAATACACATAGAATGATATTGATTAAATATATTTATAATTATATATATATTTATATATAATATAAAATAAATATATATATGTAAATACATTTAAGAATTAAATTTAAAAATGTAAAAGTGTAATTTCATTCTAACTGAATTTTAAAATTAATATATATAGATAGAAAAATACACATAAAACGAAATTATATATATATCTATATACATAAGTATATACGTATAAATCACTGTGTGTGTATATATATATATATATATATACCTATATATAAATAAAAATAATTTTAAAAAAATATATATATATATATATATATATATATATATATATATATATATATATATATACACACACGTGTATATATATATATAATAATTCTACGTATATATTTATGTAATAATTTTACATAATTAGGTAATTTTATTAATTACATTTTGCGGGACACTAATATTTGTGTTTAGCGAAGTCTCCGGAGTATAACAGTACCCCTCATATACAGGTTTTATGGTGTTTTCAAAAGTTACAGAGTCAAATATAAGGCTTGCGATTCAGTTTTTTTCACATTGAAATTCGCCAGATTGGTTACGTTGCCTTTGAGACCGTATGGTAGCCCAGGAATGAAAATTACCCCCATGATGGCATACCATTTGCAATAGTAGACAACCCAAGGTATTGCAAATGGGGTATGTCCAGTCTTTTTTAGTAGCCACTTAGTCACAAACACTGGCTCTGGGTTTGTAAGTACCCTATTTTCCTTACTTGCCATAAAACTTAGGTTATTGCACCAGATGTGCTTTCCTTTATCTGTTTTAGAATACAAGAAAGAGAAGAACTCACATTAAAGAAGGGATAAGGGTCGCCTTTACGGACCTCAAAAGCGTTTTTATTGAGCTATATATACTTAGCTCTTAAAAGTGTGAGTGGGAAATTTGTATTCTTCTTTATATATACCTACCTTTGTACCACAGTTTGCACTATGTTCTGTTTTTTTTGCTTATATTTTTAGGAAACTACATAAGAACCATTGTGATTTATAATAGACAAGCCAAGGTATCTTTGTAATACATTTCTGTTCTCCATTGCACGGCACACTCTCTATTTTTGGTTACCCATTTATATAGCGCTTTACCTCCACACTGGTTATACAACTACATGTCTGTTCGTCCATCCATTGTAAAGCGCTGCAGAATTTGATGGCACCAAATAAATAACATAATAATAATAATAATAAGTGTGGGTACACAAATATGAAAGAGGTGAATTATGGTTAAACAGACATATACCGCAAGTTTTTGTTTACGTTTTGTTTCATCACAACGTGTACATTAAGGGGTTAAAGGGGCACTCCAGGCCCCAAAACAATTTAATCTAAATTAAGTTGTTATGGTGCCAGAAGCCCCCGAATGCACTCTCACCTTCAGGGGTTAAACTGTTCTCAAACAGTCTCCGGGGGGGAGGGGAGGCTAGATAGGGTTTTAACTCTCTAGGGTCAGGAATACATGTTTGTATTCCTGACCCTATAGAAGAAAGAAAGTTACAAAAACAAGTCTAAAATGGCGTTTTATTATTTACCTACAAAGGTTGCACTTTATCTCAATAACTGGTCCTCCTTCTAAATGAGAAAATGCATTTTTGTTTGTTTCTTTATTTTTGCTCTATAGCAGGCAAACCAACTTTTCAGAACATTAAATGGTTCCTCCCATAAAATTATTATTTATATTGTCTTAATTGGTATTTTGAAAACACAGATTGACATTTTGGGATAACCAAACTTGACAGTGCATGTAATTGGCACCAAGAAAACCCTTCTTGTTCACGTGTGCTCCACAAAAATAGAAAAAATTAGGGCAGCGCAAACAATTGCAAATGTGCACACCAAGTGCTACAAAAAGATTTATTTTCAAACGTTTCTATACCCTTTATCAATTCATGTCCTTGTTCATGTGTGCTGTTGTAATCCCTACACAAAAAAATTAATTTTACATTTTTAGAAAAGATAAATTTGTATCTAGCTTTTGTTTAATCACTTTGTTTGTGACTCAGACTTTGCATAAAATTGATAATTAGAAACAATATTTATATATGCTTTTAATTTCTTAAAGGTAACAAAATTCACAAGTGCCAAAGACATACCAGAGAAATTTATAAAGAAAAATGTAAAGTTACGTGGAAAGTTGCTTTGTATCACAGAAGAAGGCCTAGAAGTGGAGCATGTGCCAATTAATCTTCCCTTTATTACGTCCTTTCTGAACAGATGTAAGTTCATCATTTTATTATGAAGTTCATTATCCTCATAATAATGTGCTCAGTAAATCAGGAAAAGGTTTAAATGTAGAAACAAACATGTTATTCTATGTTTATATGTACATGGAATTGAATCATTTCAAAAATGATCCATAACCTACCTTTTTTGTGCTTGTAAAGCATGCTCCTACCTATCCCCATATTGTCTTTGTCACTGCTATATCTTCAGGCTCTAGAGTAGTATAATGGTATAAGAAAAAAAAAAGATTTCAGAGCACATATAAAACATATGTAAAACACAAAAGGCAGTATGAAAACCTTTAATCCTGTCACTGTGGATTCCCTGCCAGGCTATCATGCAGTTGTTTTATTGAAGACGTTTGCATTTCTGTTTAGTTTTTTGTTGTTGTTATTTTTGTTTGTATCTGAGTTTTATCACTTCCTTTAAACCAATGAAACTGCTTAGTAGTTGTTTTCACTCCCACAATGCTTTGCAAGCTGTAGCTGTGTTGACCACCATGCAATATAAGGAGAACTTCTGTTTTTACATTAATTCTAAGCTCACAGTAGTAATTGTATTTACATTTTCACTTATTTTTATATATATACATATTTTCCACACCACTGCAGAAGAGGTAAGTACTTTGCAAATATATGATGTATCATAACCCTAACTCCTATCATCCTGCAGGGCAACGAGATGGCAGTTTGTTTATCAGACTTGCTGGCGTGCAGCTGACTCCAAGTGGCAAGATTTGGTTAAGAGAGAAGCTCCAACCGTCACAAATACTGTGGTTCCAACTTCTTCAAAGAGAAGGTTTAGCCCTTGAATGTTTCGTTTTGGTCCCTAAAGTAAGAAGAAACTTGAATTCCACATGTTAACATGTTTACATAACCACCATAACCACTACAGCACTCCCTAGTGGTTATGTTGATTGTAGTGTTTCTTTAACTTTGAACTTAACCACTCAAATTTAAAACTACATCTCACCTCCAAGCTACTTCAACCCTTTAATCAATTGTACTCACCTTTTCTTCATAAAGGAGCGTTGGAAACTGTGATGTGCATGCACGGCATGTGCCCAGACACACTTCTACCTGCTTTTCATTGTAAAGCGTTGAATTCAATGCTTTTCTATGAGCTACAACCCCACGTGACCAGGTATTACTCAGTTGTAAAGGAAGCCAGCTAGAAGACAGCCAGTAGAGGTGTGTTTAACCCGGCAGTGTTTTATTTTGCAGGACCCATTCATCCAGACCACCATTGAGATGAAGTGCTCTGGGTAACTTTATTAATTCTTTAAAGACACTTTCTGGTCTGAGAGAGAGCAGTGCAGAATTAAAATTCTGAGGATTTGCACAAATTGGAAAAACCTCAAAGACATCTTTTATTTTATTTAAATTTTTTATGCATTGCTTATATACAGTAATGTGGTATGGGTGCAATTATCAACTCCAGTCTGAGTTCCTTTAAAATAAATTTTCCTTTTAACTATGAGTTATGCTGCTATTACCTAACAGCAGTGATCCCATCAGCCACTTACCAACCACTCATGCATGGTCATCCTTCAATTTCCTTGTTATCTATTCCTGTCTGGCTTTCACATCAGCATCTGTCCAGTAGAATTCTGCCTTGATTGTAGTATTAAAGCAGCCATCATGTTAAATTGATCTTTTTTTCCTCTTTGTGAGTGGGTAAATGTGACTTTTAACCTATATTGTGTACTCCTTATGTTCCAGTCTGTCTCCTATCCTAAACCTGTGCATAAGCCAATATTCATTAGTTTTATGATTCATAGTGTCCCTCCCCCAGGGATTCATAGCTAAATCATTGGGACCATCATTAGTCCTAAAAAGCTCAAACCAAGGAGTTACACACAGGAAAATGAAATAGATAAAACTTTGAGTGTAATTAAGAATCATTGTGAATATATTGACTTTAAAAATCTGATCTTTTCATGATTTAGTTAATGATAAAAAATGACTGACAACTGAAACGTGACCCATCTTCTTGTTTACTGCTTGCTGCAAGAGAGTTAGATTTATATATAAAAAATACACACCCAAAATATCGCTGAGGTTCATCACTCAACAATAATTAGAAGATTTGCTGTTATGTCCAGAGTTATAAATAGAATTAACACTCAATAGGGTGTTTAACATACTTTCTTCAACTGTGTTACAGATCTAGTTCACTTGATAACCAGTGTGCAAACTGATATTGATATGTTCACACAGCAGTATACTTTGCAGATCCACTGCATGAGTTCTGATGCCTTCAGGTTTCTGAGCCTTCTGACCTGAATCTTTATAGCGAATATCATACACAATCAACAAAATCGGGCGATGGTTCTATGATTCTGTTCCCACATTTATTAAGCAGAATATATAAAATACTGAAAACGGGGAAGTCTCATATTAAAAAAAAAGGTAGTAAAAGATATACTACCCTATTTTTCAAACTGAGGTGGATCACTCTACTCTTATCCTTTTTTTTATATTGTTGTGCATAAGAGACAATATTTTTTACTTTTTTTTTTAATTTTTTTAAATGTGCTAACGTAACTAAGTTGCATTAAAGGACCATTATAGGCACCCAGACCAATTCAGCTTAATGAAGTGGTCTGGGTGCCAGGTCCATTTAAGGTTAACCCTTTTTGCTGTAAACATAGCAGTTTCAGAGAAACTATGGGTTAATCCAGCCTCTAGTGGCTGTCTCATTGACAGCCGCTAGAGGCGCTTCCGCGCTTCTCACTGTGATTTTCACGGTGAGAAGACGCCAGCGTCCATAGGAAAGCATTGAGAATGCTTTCCTATGGACTGGCTGAATGCGCATGCAGCTCTTGCCGCGCATGCGCATTCAGTCGATGACGGAAGAAGAGGGAGGAGAGCCCCAGCTCAGAGGTAGCCCGGCGCTGGAAAAGAGGTAAGGAATTAACCCCCCTTCAGCGCAGATGGAGTGGGACCCTGAGGGTGGGGGCACCCTCAGGGCACTATAGTCCTAGGAAAACGAGTTTGTTTTCCTGGCACTATAGTGGTCCTTTAATAAAGCTTTTATACTTTTTGAACAATAATAACCTTATTATTTGATACATTGATGAACAAAGGCTGCAAACATCACTTTAACCTGGATATTTTGCTGTGTACACATAATAGAAACCTGCTTTTCCAGAATTTCAGGAGCTCTTTATTTCTTGAATTTTCAAAGAAGCACAAAAGACCCTGCAGTTAGAAAGCCTAAAAATACATTTCTACACTTTACCTTTTAGCAATGTAGATTGCATGGGCAGTTACATATGGTTTTCTTTTAACACCAAAGATGTGTAAATTCCAACTGCAGCATTATACTGGCCTTTCAGATTTCATATAACAGGTATTCAGGTAATTAGGATTTTTAAAAATTGAAAATTCCACATCCCCACAAATGTTATCTACACTTTCTCCACTCTCTCGCATTTCCCTTTCTGAGCTGCCTCATATATTTGAGGAAATAAAGCAAATTGCTAAATATCACAAATAATATTTATATATTTAAAATATTCGTTAAAATTGCAGTGAATCTATTTAGTAAACAAGAATTTTGTTTAGATGCACAAAGTTCATTAAAGACCAAATTCCAACCCCATTGGCAAGTCTCATATTTACTAAAGCCAAATCTTTTTGAAGTTGAGCTATTTGGCCAAATGCATTAGGTGTCAATTTTAAAATCAGTGCTTTTTGCATCCTAATCCTATGTAAATCATAGGATAAAGACCTTTACAAATCACAGATTCTACAGAAATTCAGGACCAAGTGCATATGGTAAGATGCACAACCACAAATTATCTTTGACTTGCTTTTTCAAAGCAAATCATTATATTCAGTGCTATTTTCCATCTGGTAGCTAGATTAGGTTATGTGGACTTACTAGCCAGCCTCCATATTAAAAAGGTAAAATAAAAGCCTCTGGGTGTCTGTATGACTCTTTCTAACTATAGGGGTTTTCTACCATTTCCTTATGCCCCCACATGCCATGCCATGGGTGGAGGCATATCTCCTAAATTGTAAGCAATCGGTGACTGCTCATCAATAAAACTAGAGAGTGGGCAGCTAGTAAACTAATCACTAAACAGTGAATTATATGTATCTTGCTAAGGGTCTGCTGTTGCAGGATGAACCACTATTATATTAATGGAAGCAAGTAAAACAAAATGGTTTTTAATATACCTAACACTGGTCCCTCAATGCGACCCCACCCACGGGGGCAAAATGTTAACATTGGTGGATGAACAGGTTAAGGTCCACTCCCCTGTCCTCCCTCCTTCATGGCCAGCGTGGGCTCTAACATAATCAATGGAGGGACATGTTATTGTACTGTAAATTCACTCATGTAGGAGGCAGATGGGGCAATAAAATTTAAATTGGGAGGGGGGGGGGGAGATAGTGTTCCCCTAGACACTACCCATATGTGGTGGTTCAGAACTGTTAATCATAAATTAAAACAGGAAGGATATTAGCACCCTCTAGGTCCCACCCATGGACCGTAGATGATAGCTATTGTATATGTAAGAGTGGGACATGCCAGTGCAAAATAATAATGGTAGATATACCTTTGTTAATCCCACCAACCAATCAGAGAACTCTGGCAATCAAGTCTTATTTCTCACGAGCATGGCATGTCCCCCACATGTATTATGTTAGAGCACCCACCTGCTAATCACTGGTGGAGGTGGATTACTGGGCAGTGGGCACTGTCTTGTCCACATGTCATGGTAATATTTTGCTCCCCTGATGTCCCCGAGCACCCAGCAATGAGCATCAAAGAGCAAAATGTTTTTCTTTTTTATTACTTTCTTCAGTTACTGTTGGCTAAAAAGATCTGGCCAAATAAAATCAAGAGGATTCCAGCCTCATGGCAGTGTTTGGACAGGGTAACAACCAGACACAATCCTGGCTCTTTTGGAGCCTGAATTGCAATATCCTGATGCCTTGATCGATTTGGTACATGTCCATTTTGTAAGTAGACCCGCAGGTGTTAAAGGAGGACTGTCACTTCCCAAGATTTTTAATAAGAACTGTTTAATATCCTATAAAAAAAATGGTTTAGTAGGAGTTTAGGCAATATGCACTACAGCATTCCACTTTCTATTCACATTTGTGCAGAACTGGACACAAATTAAGAAGCTTTCCTGATGGTTTTTGATAACACATATGACTAGTTGTATTCATGCATTTTCATTATTTCCTGTCTTGCCACAGAAGCGAGCAGCTACTGTGAAACCTTTACACATTTTCATTAGTAATTTGCATATCCCACAAACCTTTGCATTTTTTTACCTATTCAACAACTTGACATCTTGAATCTTAAAAAACAATCAGATATGCTAGGTGATCTGAAACTGTACTTAATGTATGACCAGTTACAGCAATGCTTTCTCCGTTGCTGCCAGAAAACTTTGTTCATTTTATAACCGCACATATTTTAGTTCGAAATTTTAAATTGGTAGTCTTAAATTCTTCTGATTACTGGGTATCGTCAAACTATTATTTTAAAGAGGAACTGTCACTTCCCAGGATTTTTAATATAATGTTCACTTATTCCTCTATCTATAAGTCTGTGCTTGAGACGTGTGAAAAATAAAATGAATTTTAGAAATCCACACATCTCGCTATCCTGCAACTGGGCACCTCCATCTTGGCTTTGTCTTTTGTATCTGGCATTCACCATAGAGAAAGTATAAAGAGAAGAGTTTCTCCTGCTCATTTGCAATGTGTGCTTTGGCTAGTCCTGGCATGAATGGTATTATGATTGGATGGATTATCATTTACTAAATATTTTATACAAATTTAATAAAACACTGAGCTTCAAAGAGATAAAATTCCACTCCATGGTCTCCTGGTTTTTGAGTTTTAACTCACACTTTTCCTTTACCGTTATATGTCCTCATGTGTCTTTGCACTTGGGTCTTGCAAACTACTTTTTTTCTGCATGTTTATTATTATTAATGTCCAGTTTGTCTGTCTAGAAGATTCTAAAGCACATATACAAAAATTTTGATATGTTCTGTTTTTCTGCAGAAAAGACTGTTCAGTGAATGTATCAACGTGGAGATCGTGACACAAGGACTTGGTAAAGTAGCTCACGTTCCAAAACTAGATGAAAACCCAATACTTTGGAAGTTTTACAAGAGACTCTTACAAGCAGAAGTAAAGGCTCAGAACAAAGGAAAAGGCTTGTGGAAACTGGATAGTCGGCTTGATGTTTTGTCTAATAAAATGCTGAATAATAGTGTTGTGCAAAAGCTCAACCATCTTACCACCTTTATTATGAACTACTGGAAAAAGTTCCGAACATGAGTATTTTAATACCGTTTATTGTTTTTTTGTACATATGTGATATTTAACAATAATATATGTTACAAAAGGATATATTTTGAGATATTTGATTTGTTTAAACAGAGACACACAGTGTCACAAACGTCATGTATTCTAGAAACAGCTTTGCTAAAAACATTTTATTGTAAAAGATTTCCTGTTGGCACATTGGTAAATGCAAGACAGTTTTATTTTTGTATTGTAAATTGGATGATTCTAATATGTGCATAAATTTCGACAAATAGATCATCAAGAGGTTTGAAAAAATATGTATGCTTTACTGTTTAAACTCTTAAAGGGACATTAAGCACCAAAACCACTACATTTTAATGTAGTGGTTTTAAACATAGACCCTGTACCTGCAGTGTGACAAATGTAAGCATTATCGTTTGTGAGAAGTAGCAACGTTTACATTTGTCACAAATATACCTCTTGTTGATGCCAATTAGCCACTAGCGAACCTTTCTTGTGAAGACTTTCAATAATTGAAAATATTCACATTCAATACCACAATGGATATCATAGAGAAGCATTGGATTCAGTATTTCTCTATAGAAGGAATTTGATTGCCCAGTAATTGTTGCACATGTCAGTGATTGTTGCACATGCCCCGCAGGTCCCCACTGCTTTTCTATGAGATGCTTTGATTGGACCTAAAATCATCCAGATAGTCTCATTGAGGGAGGAACAACTCCCTGATGAGGACTGCCTGGCGCAGGATTACCAGTAGGTTTACTGGTGTTTATTATTTTTATTATTTTACTGGCAGGGGGAAACGTATTCTATGTATGGTACATTCTAACGTAACAAATGTATTTATTTTTAATGCTGGTGTTCCTTTAAGGACCTGATTGGTTGGATCTTATGGTAGAATGGAATGTACCACTCATTTAGCTAGTCTATAATGAGCTACTGAAATTAAACTAGCAGGACAATTTGTATATGCATACGATCTTTATAGACTGTATTGTGATGATTACAAAGAATACAAATTGAAAAAATAGGACCTAACTATATATAATTGTGTATGTGTACATATATGTTGAATACATTTTGATTTGCTGTTTCAAGAGACACATATTTATATGAACAAAAAATTTATGTTGTTACTTCCTATTCCTATTTGTAACAAACTTCTTTGGTAATGAACAATATTTATAAGTATTTCCTATGCCACATTCATGAATAACAGTCTGCTTGTATTTTCATTATTTGGAGATTATCTGAAAAGATATGTACAGATTAAAAAGGTATGCTTGCTTTAAGATTTCTTATATCTCTTCCAACATGGCTGCCGAAGTACATGATAACAGATGTGCCGCACATAGTTTTTATAGTAGAATTATCTGTGTGAGATGTTCTACTAACAATGCATAGCCTAAAAGTTTTTCTATAAAGCTATAAAATGTATTTTTTACCTGAGAAGAACACATGATTTCACAAAGTTATAGCAACAGACACCTAGATTGCACTGCCTGGTAAATATGTTAAACTGTAGATTTAGTAAAATAATGCATTTTGTTCCATTATTTTAAGTTCCGCAGAATAAATAACGGTTTAGACACTCCGGGATAACAAAAAATAGCAGCTTTATTGGGGCAAAAACAGCAAAGTGCTGTTTTTGCCGCAATAAAGCTGCTAGTTTTTATTATCCCTGAGTGTCTGAACCGTTATTTATTCAGCATATCTTGAAAGGGAGGCCTAGCCAGCCCTGGTATCAGAGCACCTGGGTTACTTGGTGAGTGCGGTATCCAGTACGTCTCTAGTATTTTAAGTTCTGCCATTTTACAGTTCTGTACAGTGGGTAAACAGCACCGAAACTATGAATAATCAATGACAATGTTTAGTTGGACACTTGGTCAGATTTGTGAAAGTGTTATGATCAGAACAGCAATTAAAATTGTAAAAGTACTATAATCACCAGTGCAACCTACCCGATTCCACTGGAGTGTCCCACTTTTAGATTACAAATATTTTATTTTCATCTTACAAAACTGCAATCTAAAATCATGATTAAATGACATTTGTTTGTAATGAAGCAATTTGCTCGGGATATGTACATTTGTCCATTTACCCACCATCGTTTTCCCATTATAAACATTTAAGCTAAAATGTCCAGTAGTCACATTACAATTTGTATTCTATACTGTCCTGTAGATAGTAGTAACTTTATTGTCACTTCAAACCAAACTATCACATTACTGTAAATACATAATAGCCAGTTTACCAGGAAGAAACACATTGGCATATCAATAACATTGTTTACATCTTAATGCAGTGGTTTTGGTGCACAGACCTTATCTCTGTAGTTTGACCATTATAAGTATTACCCTTTGTGAGATTCTTGCCTTTATTATCTTTCTTTGATTGGCAGCAGGCATTTTACTAATATCTATCCATCCCTTATCACACAGGTTATTTTTTATCTACAATAGTGGTTTATAGATTTTGACCTATTTTTTTCCAACCTAGTAATCAGCATAAATCTGTATGAATAGGTTAGTCAGGTGCCAGGCAGTAGCCTCCCAGTTTAGCGATGGTGAAAGAGATGCCTGGCCTAGGGTTTCAAAGAACACTGCTAGATCACTTTTACAATGGCAGTGTGATCTGCTTCCTGGAAAACTTGGAAAACAAAGAAAATTAGGGATATTCAGTGAGTTATCAGAAATTTACACATTTTATGTTTTCACCGTGGCTATTTTGACTCTACATTTGCATTTGCTTGGTGAAATCCCAACAATACATTTTAGTGTATAACCATAAATGTGTTTTGTTTACATGCTAGAGGTGCAAATAATGCCTTGATGTGGGGGAGGAGGTTTGGGGAAGAGTGATACCTTACTTCCTACAGTAGTTTATACGCACAATAAACTAATCTGGCCTTTATTGTGTCTAATGTTTGGATTGGGTAAATACAATGCTAATTGCTCAGTGTTTTGTAACACTTACTGTGTTGGTGAAAAGTTGTACACAGCAAGTAATTGCCTCCGTGTAGATTTCCTTTCTGATACTTAGATTGATTTAAGTTCCCCACTATTTAACAATCTTTTAAACTATCTCTTCAAACCTGCATTAACCCCTAATGACCACTGGCATGCTAATGATATTACTTAGAGGGACTTGCCTCTCCTCAAAATATTTCACTCAGAACTGGGGAATAGAATCTACAGCTTAATTGCATAATAACACTGCATGACATGTAGTAGTGATGGTTTGGAGACTTCTTTTAGTTTGTGTCTCCCCTGAACTCACATTTGCACCTTTCCAACCCTTCTGCTTACTATTATCTTCCGCACCACAGTCTACTTTAAAAGGTTACTCAAAGCACCATTGTCACTAAGTGATTTGAAGTGGACATTATGCCTGGAGTTTCAAGTGAACCTGTTATGGAAAAGTTTACTTACCATAAATTGCCCCCACATACATTGAATACATCATATATCACAAAGATACATGTAATGTTTTGAGATATACTCACCTCCGTTCCAGTGCTGCCATTTTCAGAGCACGTGTTTCTCTTCATTAAACACCTCCCTCTGGTCCATCCTTGAACACTCATGTGATCTTCATTAATTTGCCCTGCTTATGAACATTTCCTCAAGCCGGGCAAATCTCAAGTACTCTGACATGCTGTCTTTGTTGCCAGCATGCTGACGTCTGAATGGAGCTAAATCAGTCACTTTTTTCTTATACTCCCTAGCCAGCTCTAGCAGCAGTGTTTTCATAGGAACCGCAACATACCGTGTTTCTCCGAAAATAAGACCGGGTCTTATATTAATTTTAGTCCCAAAAAACACACTAGGGCTTATTTTCAGGGTAGGGCTTATTTATTTATGGTACCGGTATGTACATTGAACCCCCCCTTTAATTAATCCACCCCCCTTTATTAAATCCACCCCCTCTAATTAATCCACCCCCCTTTAATTAATCCACCCTCCTTTAATTAATCCACCCCCCCAATAAATCCACCCCCCCAATAAATCCAGCCCCCTCTAATTAATCCACCCTCCTTTAATTAATCCACCCCTCCTTTAATTAATCCACCCCTCCTTTAATTAATCCACCCCTCCTTTAATTAATCCACCCCCTCTAGTCACCCCCTCCTAATAAATCCACCTCCTTTAATAAATCACCCCCCTCTAATAAATCCACCCCGTTTAATTAATCCAACCCCTTTAATAAATCCACCCCCTCCTAATTAATCCACCTCCTTTAATTAATCCTACACCCCCCCTCTAATTAATCCACCCTCCTTTAATTAATCCACCCCTCCTTTAATTAATCCACCCCCCCTAATAAATCCACCCCCTCTAATAAATCCACCCCCCGTTTAATTAATCCAACCCCCCTTTAATAAATCCACCCCCCTCTAATTAATCCAGCCCCCCCTTTAATTAATTCACCGCCCCCTTTAATTAATTCAGTCCCAGACATAAAATATCTACTCACAGATGCCTTCCTTGCCCGCCGAGTCCGACCACTGGGTGCCTCACCGCCCGGAAATGGATCCTTCCGCTGAAGATCCGTGAAGGCAGACTGACGACGCTGCGCACGTCATCATCACGTTGCGCGATGCCGCGGCCTGCAACGCTCCTCCTCCTCCTCATAGAAGAAGGAAGTCCCGCCGGACCGAAAGGTACAATGCCTAGGTCTTATTTTCGGGGTAGGGCTTATATTGCAGCCCACCCCGAAAATTCAGCTAGGTCTTATTTTCGGGGTAGGGTGTATTTTCGGGGAAACACGGTAGATGCTGTGGTTGCTATTCTTCGGAGAGCAGAAGGACTATCTGTAGGTGGCCTTTTCTGCTCTCCACTGTCAATCAAATTGTTGGCATAGAGTCTTTGAAAGAAAGACCTATTTTAAATAGGTTTTTCTGCCAATCTACATTTGCCTAACTGCTATCACAATGTATAGATGAAATGTCATGCTTGTTCTAAGGAGGATGAGATGTTTGTGTGTTGGGGGGATGGGGGGGTGACATGTCCACTTTTACTCCTCTGTTGCCGGAGGTGTAACTCCACATCCGTTAGCAGCATTGACCCATCATTATCCAACCCACAGCAAGAGTTCTGCGTTGGCTAATGTCAAATCTATGCAAATTTTCATGCACAGAGTGCCCAACGAATGACAACTGGATCGGATTACATCTTCTGCAGAAGCTGGAAGTGCATCACCAGGGATGAAGAAGCCTCAGAGCCCGGCTGGAACACAGGTAACGGGGCAAACTGTGCTAAATGATTTGGCTAATTACTGGTGAGCCAGGCCAGGATAATTCTGGGACCATAACTGTGACAGGTCCCCCTGTGCCCCAAATGAGCACACCCATCTGAACAGCTTCTTTCCACCACCAAACCACAGATGCCAGCTAACACCTCCCCCAAAAACAGCAGACACACACAGCTTAAGGGTAGAACAGGAACTAACTTTTATTAGACACACCCAGGTTTTTGTATACAAGTAAACTCATTAGTAAACACGCAAAGGTTTGGAACAGCAACCAATCAAACTGGGCCTAAACAAACAGCCAATCACACTAAGCCCATTAATAAGAACATCACAGAACACCTACTTTGCATACACAGGAAAACATTAGGTAAAGGGATTTACATACAGTCAACAATAGGTGACTCATCTCCCTGAGTCACAAAGGGGAAAGTCCCAACCCCCACCTACGTGGTCACACAGTCTCTGGTTCAGCACCATCTTGTCACTCCATCTTGTGGCTAGGTCTAAGTCTGTACAGTCTAAATGGCCGCTCCCCACCAGAGTCCACCCAAACAAAGGAGCCCTTGAGGCCCAAGTGACAGCGTACCAGCGTTCCGTCACAAAAACCAGTACAGTTTACCATTTTTATGTGCTATATACAGTGGGAATTATCTGTTAAATTGAAACTGAATTATGGCAAACTGGAAAAATTCTCCAGTCCAGTCATTTTTCTGTCAACTAATTTGACCTAAGATTTGCAGTTCCCTTGTCAGTTCTTTACAATTCCTATTTTCATGGATAATCTCTCATCTCTTCCCAGAGATGTATAAAATCAAACCATTGCTCAAAATAATTTTGAAAAAACTGT